CGAGAGAAAGGAATTTGGCTACTTTAAAATTCGTTAACAAATGAAAAGCAAGTAATGACAAGTTTTAAAGAAAAGAATGACAATAGATTCAAGTTGATTACTTATTATTGAGATTTTTTTGTAATTAAATTTCTTTCTTGAAATTTCTGAGTAATTTTCCCTAGAATATATGGAATTAAACATACTTGAGTTATTTAGAATTCAAGAGTAATCATATTATTGTACTGTTTACATTAATTTTAAGTACTTTATCTTGTTTGGAAACTACACATGAACACTTTTCCCTAACCTCAATTTTACGTAGAGTGGATTCCTTGTACTTTAATGATAAAAGGAAAAGGTGATAACAAAGAGATGGATGTTGCTTTTGATGCAGAGATGAAAACTAGAGCCAATTATGAATAATTATATGTCAAAAGAGCCAATTAACTAGATCTATAACACATTGATATACTGTTAATTTTGAATTCCACATCAATGGAGTGTCAGAAAAATGCCTGGAACCTTTGAGGGAGGAATATCTTTGTTCTAGTTCTATATTTTTGGCTCATTTTATTATTTCCACCGATGGTAAATCTTTTCCGCAGAAATTGCAGATTTGAATTTATGGTTTAGCTGAGATTTATGTCCTTGATTGGTGCAGGATTATATGTTTATGGAGTGCTCTCATTCGCCTGGCTCGTGTGTGGCCTGGTTCTTGGGAAAAAGAAATGACAACGGGTAAGAGCAAGACACAATGTAGCATATTTTAGGTTTGCGCTTGACCTGTAGTGCAAGATTTTGTGTGTACATTGAAAGTTAGCTAATCACCAATCAAATAACCTATTGTGAATGATTTACTTTGTAAATTATAACGATCAGAGGGGATGGTTATGCTGTTAAGTAAACTGTTGAAAAAAAGCCTGAGCAGGCCGCTTGACATCAATGGCAATCCTTTTGACATGGAAATAGAAACAGATGAGTTAATTGTAAACATTTGTTATTCTGGTTAATACTATGCTTGGTTCTATTCTCAGCCACAATCCCCATATCTATGCCCTCCTCAGGTCGGTTTTAAGCTCAGTGCAGAACGAGGCACTTGATTGTGACACGACTTGGAGGTTACACGGCTGCTAAAATTGAATCATTGGGGATTTTAATTAAATCCTGTTCCGTTAGAAAAAACCTGGATTGTTAATTACAGAGCATCATGTTTGCTGAAATTAGGTCCAAATATAACAAATGCACATGATGACTTTGCATTGAGGTTTCGAGAAAGGGATTTACCTGTCTTAAAATTCATTGACAAATAAAGAGTAAGCAATGACAAGTTTTAAAGAAAAGAATGACAATAGATTCAGGTTAATCATTTATTATTGAGATTTTTTTGCAATTAAATTTCTTTCTAATTTTTCTTAGAATATGTGGAATTAAACATACTCGAGTTATTTAGAATTCAAGAGTAATCATGTTATTGTACTGTTTACATTAGTTTTAAGTACTTTATCTTGTTTAGAAACTACACATGAACACTTTTCCCCTACCTCAATTTTGCGTAGAGTGGATTCGTTGTAGTTTAATGATAAAAGGAAAAGGTGATAACAGAGAGATGAATGTTGCTTTCGGTGCCCCAAAAGACCCTCATCTTTCTTTTTCTTTTCTTTTTTTTTTTTTTGGGATGAAAGTGTGTATTTTATTCAAGTAAAACTGTACAGTACCACAGGGAGACAGGTCAAGCAAGCAAAAATAACATCAGGATCGTAAAATTACAAAGAGGCCAAGCATAATAAAATTTAAGCGGCCTGCACATAGTTTATAACCATTGAGCACCCCCTGAATCTTAATTTTCAGCAGAAAAAGATACCCTCTATTTTTCTTTTTTCTTTTTTTTTGGTCTTTGAAGTAGAGTTGTGTCAATTAAATAAAAAACCAGAGCATTTTTTTTTTTACTTTTTAATTTTGATTCTGTATTAGTAGTGCCTTTCCTGATCGTAGTCTTTCCCTGGAATGCTCAAAAGCCTTCGGCGCCATTGTTGGATTCCCTAGCTCTCTCCAACAAACTGTCCTAGTTTGTTTCAATGGAAATAATGCCTGAATGACTGATGGCACTTCCACGTGGTTGAAAGAAAATTGAAAGATAGGAGGCAAAAATCGCATGGGGTCCCAAAAAAAAAAAAATCTCATTACTCATGATAACTCTTAAAAAATTTTATAATTTCACTCATATTGATGTATTTATGATTATAGGGTTGTTCATCTAAGGGTAAAATAATATGCTTGATGTAAATAACTTCATAAAAAAAATAGGAACTCTAAATTTGTTACAATTTCAAAAAATTTATCATCTTTCATTTCTAAGTTAAATTTGCTCTTTTTTTTAAATGGCAACATCATTATATTAAAGTTAACTTTTGGAGAAAAGTAAATTCAAATTAACCTTGAACAATAATAGGAAAAATAAGAACTACTCTATCAACTCTTTATTTTAATAATAGGAAAAGTAAGAACTACTCTATCAACTCTTTATTTTCCTTTGCACTCTTATTCTATGTCTAACATTTGTACTCTATTAAGACAATAAGACTAAATAGAAATACTTGATAGAAAGAAAACCATGATTCACTTCCTATTGATTTTATTCATCTCTTCCTAATTTTTTCTTTTTCCTTTTTTTTTTTGGGGTGGGTGGGGGAGAAAGGGAATTGCAACCTTTTTCTTCTTTATTTGACAAAAATTAATATGGTTTCCATCTTAAGCTTCTGTAAGTTTTCCCTTCACGATGTTCATATACAAAATCAAGCTGAGGGATGATCTTCCAAAGTATGTAGTCTGCGTATTTGAAGTATTGCAATCTCCATTGTTGGCAGAATATGAGAGGAAGGATAATGATGCCAAGGCCAAAAGTAAATCCCAATTCAGCACTCAAAAAATTCCAATCAATGGAGTTCCCATCATTTGATTCAGTTGTTTTTGAAGATGGTGTTTGCAAACCTGGAATTTCACCCAAACTGCAACTCTGTGTCAGTGGAGGTCCACATAAGGCTTCATTGCCTTTGAAACAATCTGCTTCAAATGATTGAATTTGAGTCCCTGTTGGGATTTTCCCAGTCAAATGGTTGTGAGAGAGGTTCAAAAATTCAAGGAAATACAAACTTGCAAGCTCTGTTGGTATGTCCCCTCTAAAAGAGTTCACAGACAAATCTAAGGACTCAAGATACTTTAGATTCCCTATAGATGAAGGGATATGGCCTGAAAAAGCATTTTGTGACAAATTAAGAGCATGAAGTGCTTTGAAATTAATTAGCTCTTCTGGTATTGGCCCTTCAAAGTGGTTGGATGAGAAATCCAAAGATGTGAAGGCCGTAAGAATCTTAACCAACTTTAGTTGTCTTCCTTTGTTGACAATTGTCACCGAATCTAGATAACTTTGACGACCAAAATCATTGGCATTAATATCAGAGAATAAGTGGCTAATCACAAAAGGTGGTTCTACTGCTATCAATTCGGCTAGTTTTGGTGCAAGATCCTTGTTCACAGTGGATAATGCATTCTTGAAGTCCACAACATTAGCGTTGTCATAGATGTCAAAAGACAACTGGCCAAATTTTTTGCCACTTTCATCTTCAGCTGGTCTCATCAATACTTTCCAACTTTGCAGGAGTGCTATAGGTAGAGTACCATTTAAATTATTTGAGGCCAGGTCAACAATTTGAAGTGTCTCCCACTTTCCAATGCTATTTGGACATTCAAGTGTCCCATAAATTTTGTTTGACCTTAGAATCATGACTCTCAAAGTGGATACATTCCCCAAGAAACACGGAAATCTATCAGTCAATTGATTTTTTCCAAGGTTTAAGACTTGTAGTTTTTGGCAATTAGCCAATGACTCTGGGATTGTACCACTTAAGAAATTTTCATTGAGATCTAGGAATCGAAGGGCACAAAAAGCTGAAAATGTATTAGAAACTTGGCCTTTGAGGTTGTTTCCAGCTAGATTTAACACCCTAAGTGTGTTACTCATTCTTGTCAAACATGCAGGAATGGTTTCACTGAAGTTGTTGTCAGAAAGATCAAGCACACGGAGAGTTGACATGTTACATAGGGATTCATGGATTTTTCCATGAAAACTGTTGTTTGAAAAAGAGAGAAAATATGTGAAAGGGAGATGATTGCCAATATCTAGTGGGGCAATAGAGCTAAATCCATTGCTTGAGTAATCCAAATAGATCACATTTTTTGGAAAAATGGGAGGGTGGCCTTTGAGTTGGTTGGAGTGGAGATCAAGAAGAAACAAATTAGAAGTAATATTGTGAAAAGGACCTTCCAAATCTGTGAGAAAATTGTTGGAAAGATTAAGAAAGACCATGAAATCAAACCTCCAAATCCAATTGGGTATTGTTCCTCGAATTTGGTTGCTGGATAAGTCAAGGTACAGCAAATTGGATTGATTTCTCAAAAAACTGGGAAACTCTTTCAATTTGCAAGAACCCAGCATGAAATTGTTCAATTTGGGTAGTGATGACAAATTGTGGTTGTTCACCAAAGTTGTATCAACCAATAAATTGTTGTGAGCCAGATCTAGTGTAGCCAAATTTTCCATGCTTCTCATCATACCCAAATCTATAGTTCCATTGAACTTGTTTGCAGAAAGTTGGAGCAAAGTGAGTCTTTTGAGCTGAAAGATAGACACAGGAACAGGCCCTTGTAAATTATTTCCACTGATATCAAGGATCTCTAATGGGGAGGAAGAAGCATTTGGAAATTCATCTAGAAGACCCTCAAATCTATTGTTAGAGAGAATCAGTTCACGCAATGATCGAAGTGTGAAAAGAGACGATGGAACTCTCCCATTGAATAAATTATCACCCAAATCAATGGTGATAAGATCTTCAAGGCCCGTGAAATGAAATGATGGAACTTCACCCTTCAAGTCATTGTGATAGAGGGATAGATATGTGAGGCTCTTGGACAAATTGAAAGATGGAAGAGAGCCAGTGAAATTATTGAATGACAAGTCTAGATAGACAAGTGAGGTCACCTTGGAGATTGAACAAGGAAGTGTTCCACTAAATTTGGAGTTTGACAGGTCTAATGCAGACAACTTCCTCAAATTGTGAATAGAACTAGGTAGTTGCCCTGAGAACTTTGTATGGCTAAGGTTCATACTGTGGAGAAATCCATGATGTTGGAATTTTGGTAAAGAACCTTGAAGATCTTGATTATCTGACACATCAATGACTTGCAGGTTTGGCATTTGGAAGACCTGTTCTGGAAACACTCCACTCAAGTTGCAATTTCTAAGTTGCAAGATGGTTAAGTTGGTCAATCCCACAAAGGTCTTTGGCACCGAGCTTGCTATATTGTTATTGTCCAGTCGAAGAACTAATAAAGATCGAAGCTTTGCAATTGAATAATCAATAGGGCCAAAGAGATTACAAGATGACATACTCACAATTTGAAGATTTTGCAATGTGGATAGTGTCTGGCCCCACTCCTTCCCCTGAGCAAACATCTTCACACCATCAAGATATAGCTCCTTGAGTTCCGTGAACTTCTGTAAAAGAATTGTGACATCTGGCTCCTCAAGTTTAAGTGTGTGAAGTGAGGTAGAAAGATCAAGAAAAACAAGCTTTGCTAGATAAGATATCTCAACTGGTATCTGACCCTCAAAGCCAGCATTTGACAAATTCAGATATCTCAAATTGGTCAACTTGTGTAGCTTTGAAGGAACCACGGAATGAAACTTGTTATGAGCCAAGTTCAAATTTTGCAGAAATTGCAGGTTGAAGATGCCATTGGAACTGTCATCAAGTCCACCAGAGATGGATTCTCCACTTAGATCAAGAGCTATAACATGTCCCTTATCACATGTTACTCCATTCCATTGACAACAATCATGACTTTGGTTCCAATGAACCAATTTTTTCGACTCAAAAGGGTTGAAGATAAAGTTTCTTCTTAGATGAAGCAAAGCAGATTTTTGATGGCTGAGACAATGGCTAGTCACAACAAAGACATTGATGCCAAGGTTTATGAAGCAGAAGGGTAAAAAGAAAATCCATAAGATAGACCTCATTGTGTATAAATATTAGAGACACTTTCTACAAGTGATGAAAGTGAGGAAGATGAAGATGGATTTTGCCTTAGGAACTCAGTCCTTTTATACATTGCAAATCGCTTTAGATTTGACTGAATCTAGCTCATGTTGATGCGTAATTTTCTTTGGAAGTCATCACAACCTTGCGGTCTTTTCTGTTAATACTACTATGTGGTTACTGAGAAGTTCGGTACTACTGCAATTTCAGAGCGCATGGAAGGAAAACTGAAAAACTTTGAATTCCATGCTTCAAGACCTATAACTTGAAATGCAAAAGAACCCAAGATTACGGGTCTATGAAGTGGGACACAAGCTTTGTATGAAAAACCTCCTTCTGTTTGTTTGTGTTAGCCAAATGTGAAGTTATGTTCGTGATGACCCTTTTCGTCAATGTTCAGAATGAAAATAAACATACATAACTTCACTGCTTCTAAATGTTGATGAAAGCTAGGTGTCTGATTTGCAGAAATTTAGAAAAATTAATTAAATTAGTTTTTGTGAGAAATATGTATTGATTTTCTAAATTAATTAAATCATACGTATTGCAAATTGCCCCTTGATGAGAACCCTTCAATAACCTAGAATGATTTAAAGAATAAAATATAAATTTAAAAGTCAAAAGAAATTGGAATCTTATATCTTACAGTGAAAACAAATCCTTTTACTAGGATTTATATTTAAAACCGAGGAGTGCATAGTACATTAATATAGGGGATATTAATTACTAGTTTATAGGATGTTATACTATGGTATCTTAATGAGAACAAGTCACATTTATTATGATTAGTTATAATTTATTTTATTTTTTAGTCACTCAAATTAGTTAAATAAATTTTATATTAAGTAAATGAGGGAATAGTTTGTTTACTACCATTAAAAGGTATGAATATTGGATTTAAAAACATATTAAAAGAGTTGTCTTTATTTAAACCCAACCATACTCGAATTTGGATTAATGAAGACTATGTACTCTCTATTATACCAAAAAATTGTATAAGTATCTCATCACATAATATTTGTTTTCATTCATTTTGACAGAAATTACATTTGTGACATATTGCCATCGTAAGTACAGGCATAGCAAATTCAACGTTATAATGTTTTACGTCCTAGTTTATCTTTGGTCCTTAATATAAAAACTGTATAACTAATTTAGAGAATTAAAAAAATTAGTTAAATCAGTTATTTATAATAAATATGTGTTGATTTTCTTAAATTACCTTTATTTAATCATTTACATTAAAACTACGCTTGGTGGAAATATCTTACAATTAATAAGATTTTTTGAGATTAAATTATGAATTTGAAAGAAAAAATAAATTAAAGTCTTATATTTAGGACAACTAACTAACTCTTATATTTAGGACTGAGGTAGTATTAAAATTTGAAATAAAAATATACCAGTTTGTTATTCTTGCATAGCTGAGACTTTGACTTTGAACTTTGATTATTACTTATAGTGCATTTTATCTTTATCACTTGAACTACGTCTTAAGTCAAAATATAATAGCACCTCATTTATATTTATAAGAAGAGGTCAAATAATTAAATATCACATGAAATGCGTAATATACATTCTACCCCTTGTCTTAATTATAAGACCTTGTTTGTACTACAAACTATACACACACATAAAATGAATTCAAAAGTATAGTGTTGAAGCAATAACATAATAGAATTCAAAATTTAAATTCTTTTACAATATTACGTAACTTCACAGAAAATAGTTATGTATTTAGAGGGATACAAAACTCTAGGACAAAATCTCATAAAACGAAGTTTAAAATTACTAAGGGTCTGTTTGAATGAGCGATTGAAAAAGTAGCTTATTAGAAAAATAGCTTTTAAAAAAATAAAGTTTGGTAAAAACTAAATTGGATGAGCTAAATTGTATTTGGATTGGAGTTTAGAAAAGCTAGTTTGTAAAAGTGAGATTGGTAAAAGCTTGTTTGGATTATAGTTGAGTAAAAGCAAGTTTGGTTGTAAAATGACCTAAATGGGTATGAGTTTTAATAAATAATGAAACGTGATTAAAAAAAATGATTTCACATAATACAATGAAATTAAATAATTTAATATGAAGAAGTCAAATTTAATGAGTGAATTAAAATTTAAAACTTTAGAGAAATCATAAAAAATATTTTAAATATAAAGTGAAATATGGAAAAAAAATGAATTGAGATAATACAATAAATTTAAATTAATTTAATATGAAGAAGTAAAATTGATTGAGTGAATTAAATTTTAAAACTTTAGAGAAATGATAAAACATAATTTAAATATAAAGTGAGACATGAAAAAATAAAAGTATATTTCTATGAGCATATTTAAAAATAAAAGTATATTTATAACATATTTATTACTTTCAACTAATTTTAACTGATTTTTGGTTATCTATAAATTAGTTATTTGAAGCTTATAATAAGAATCAAAAGAGATAATAAATTTCTTAACTTTTTCTCTCTCCATGTTTCAAAAGTTATAACTCATAAGCTGTTAGTTTAAGTTTATAGCTTATTGTAACTTTTTATACAAAAGTTATATTACCCAATCGTTCAACCAAACAGTATCAAAATTTGTAATTGTGCTTTTTAAGCTTATAAGCCGCTTATGGTGCCTAGACTGCCCGGACAAATAGGCCGTAAATCCTACGTTAGATTTGATAACAATATTTTAATAAGTTTTTATACTACTGAATTTATAAATAACAAAATTTTATTTAATTTTTTTTTTTAAAGGATTCTTCAAAGTCTTGATCTAATAGCGACAGGGAAAGCTCTCTCTTTCTCTCAGCCACACACAGGTCTTTTTGCCCTCTTTATCAATCACACTCACAAGTCACGAGTCTTTAGTCTCTTTGAAAAGTCAAAATTGTTTTATTAACAAATTTTGTCTTCTTTTCTTCCGTTTCAAAAATGATGTTTGAAAGTTGACTTTCAATTTCTTAAATATACTAGTCAGAGGAATTTTTTTCTGTTGCATTCAATACTTTTATTGAATGTTTTTGTTTGAAAATAATTAAGTTTTTTTGTTGTTGTTTTTAATACGTTAAGAGATCACGGAAGAGACAAAATTTAGAATCTATAAAGAGGGAATGAGAGTTGGGTTCCAAATATTTTATTTAATTATAATTTAGTTTCAAAAACATTAGTTGATTAATAAATTTCAAATATTAATTTGGATTAGTTATAAATGTGAAAATTTTAGTTGCAAATCCCATGAAATAACTCATGAGATTTAAATGCTTAGTGGTGGAATATTTGATTCCTGTAACTGCCGATTTATATTTAAATTGCCCAGAATATATGCCATGTTGGTGGTTCTGTGGTGTAAGACTATTATTATTCATATGTAGGACCATCTTGATAAATGATAATTGTTGTTAATTTCTCTCTGTTTCTCATTAATAGCTTAATTTTTATTTTTAATCCTCTTATTTTACTTGTTCATTTAAATCTGAACATTTTTTTGTTAATGAGAAGATTGTAAATAAAAACCCCAAAATATGTAAAATTGTAATTTGGGACCTTGAATTTAAAAAATAGTAAATATGGATCCAGTTTCTTTTTATGAAATGTGGGTGTAATATCTAAAATGCCTTTCAGTCACATTTTAGTTGTTGTTAACTCCCGTTATTATTAATTCCCTATTTATGTGTTGTTATTAATTTTCTCGCATTTCTTGTTAATCATCTAATTTTCATTGTTAATTCCCTTATTTTACTTGCTAATTCACATTTAAATATTTGCACATTTTTTTTGTTATGTGTATTTTTCTTTGCGCTGTATGATAAATTGAATTTGATGGTTTGACGGTCATAGTCTTTTTTGTTTTTTTGAATAAGTGGTCATAATCCTTTTAATGTACTAATATTTTTTCATCTATAGAATTTAATTTCATTTTAATTCAAGAAGAATGTAGTAAAATTTCATAATTTTTCAGAAGCAAATGGAAGTTAACTTGTTACAGTAGGAGTACAATGAAATTTTTCCTAACATTTTTTTATATGAATATTCTTTTACTTTGTGTAAAATATATTTTAATTTATTTATGGTTAATGTCCAACTAGCAAACCATTAATCGTTACTCAGCTCAAAATGGCTAAATAAGAAAAAGAATGATGAATGCTTACATATCTAGAAAGTGTGATTCACAAAGTTTCTAACCCAAACGTCAGTGGTATTGGACTGCAAAAGAGAGTCTCACTTTTATTCTGAAAATTTACTGTTTAATTCAGCTTATATACATCATTAAAAATATTCTTAAAATATCTTAAAAGTTATGAAACACGTAATTATCAAAGAAATCAATAATTTGAAACTAACAATTGAAACCTTATAAGAGACTAAAGACAGAAGGAAAGCTTCATTTTATAAATTTGGATTAATATTATTGTTAGTCATTGAAATTAGCATTCATTTTAATTTTCATCCATGAAATATAAAATCAATTATTTTAGTTTCTGAAATTTTACCTCATTTTAGTTTAGGGAAAATGACAGATAAAGAAGGTGGAATTTATGAAATTCCAGTTTGGGAAGCTAAGGAAATCTAAAGACAGAGAGGGAAGTCCTTCCCAAATTGGGATTTTGAAATTCAGTGAAATGACAAAAATGCCCTTTGTCTTTTTTTTTTTAAAAAAAAAAACTCAGCCCCTCACCGGCCGCCGGCGACTGGCCGCTGGCAGCCAGCAGCCGCCGCCGGGCACCGCCGCCGGCCACCGATGTGGTGGCTGCCGGTGGAGTTTTTTTTGTAACAATGTTTTTTTTTTGTGGGAGAATATTGCAAGAAATGGTGGGGGTGGGATTTGATCCCACAACCTCTTGGTCATTTGGGCCAACAAAACGGTAGATAACCATTGGGCCATCAAAGACTTGTTAACTTTATAATGCAAACAAAAATATAAGTTGACTCTTTTACTGTGACTTCAACCCGTGACAACAATTTACCTGAGGATGACAAGTCTTAACTGAGAAATAACAAGTCTAAATTTGATATTAATAAAGCAACTTTTCCTGATACATAACAAGAAATAGCATGTACATTAATTAAAAATGGAAATAATTTATTTGAAAATGACTCGTCTTTATTGGAAAATGACACGTTTAAACGTGAGATTAACAATATGCCTTTTCCTGATACATAACAAGAAGTAGCATGTACATTAATTAAAAATGACAATAATTTATTTGAAAATGACACATCTTTACTGGAAAATAACAAGTCTAAACTTGAGATTAATAATGTGTCTTCTCTTGATACATAATCTAAACACGAGAATACATAATCTAAATTTGAGATTAACAATGTGTCTTCACTGGATTAAAAAATGAATCAGGAGAAGACAACTAATACTGCTGTTATTGTTACTTTTTATTGGACAACTAACCCATTTTTTAATTTAAAAAAAAGAGAGGGTTCCAACAAAAAGACGTGTCATTTTCCAGTGAAGACACATTGTTAATCTCAAATTTAGATTATCTATTCTCATGTTTAGATTATGTATCAAGAGAAGACACATTATTAATCTCAAGTTTAGACTTGTTATTTTCCAGTAAAGATATGTCATTTTCAAATAAATTATTGTCATTTTTAATTAATGTACATGCTACTTCTTGTTATGTATCAGGAAAAGGCATATTGTTAATCTCACGTTTAAACGTGTCATTTTCCAATAAAGACGAGTCATTTTCAAATAAATTATTTCCATATTTAATTAATGTACATGCTATTTCTTGTTATGTATCAGGAAAAGTTGCTTTGTTAATATCAAATTTAGACTTGTTATTTCTCAGTTAAGACTTGTCATCCTCAGGTAAATTGTTGTCACGGGCTGAAGTCACAGTAAAAGAGTCAACTTATATTTTTGTTTGCATTATAAAGTTAATAAGTCTTTGATGGCCCAATGGTTATCTATCGTTTTGTTGGCCCAAATGACCAAGAGGTTGTGGGATCAAATCCCACCCCCACCATTTCTTGCAATATTCTCCCACACAAAAAAAAAACACTGTTACAAAAAAAACTCCACCGGCAGCCACCACACCGGTGGCCGGCGGCGGCTGCTGGCTGTCGGCGGCCAGTCGCCGGCGGCTGCTGGCTGTCGGCGGCCAGTCGCCGGCGGCCGGTGAGGGGCTGAGTTTTTTTTTAAAAAAAAAAAAGACAAAGGGCATTTTTGTCATTTCACTGAATTTTAAAATCCCAATTTGGGAAAGACTTCCCTCTCTGTCCTTAGATTTCCTTAGCTTCCCAAACTGGAATTTCATAAATTCCACCTTCTTTATCTGTCATTTTCCCTTTAGTTTAGGTCTCAAAAAATTTAAAGGAATAATTTTATTCTCTAAAATTTGATTTTATTATGCTTCAACTTAAAATTTTTTATCTTTAAAACAACAATCAAAACTATGATGGCATTGAGGAGCAGGGAGAGGCGACACGGCGAGAAGGCAAACGGCTGGAGAAGGAAGAAGGTACACTGCCGTTACCGGGAAGCTCACTGAGATCCCATACAGAAAATTTCAGCGAGTTGTACGGGGAGTGGATGACAGTCCAACGAAGGCGATCACGGAGGGACTTTCATCGTGATTCGAGGGCAGAGAGAATCAAGGGAGATTCTCGTCGGGAATCAGGGTCGCGAAACTCGGGATCTAGATTTATGGCATTATCGGATAATAATGGCCTGATTCCTGCGCCAGGCTCTACATCGGAGTGCAAACACCCTGAAACGGTGAGTACGACCTTGAGAAAGTCAAAGTCAAAATGGGGTACCAAAGTTGCGCCAATGATTTTAAGAAGTGAAGCTGAAAAAGGCGACAAGGTTTGCAATGAACCTGGGCCAATGGAGATATACGTCCAGAAGAAGTATGAGTTGGGCCTTGTGAGAAGTGGGGTGGGGGCGAGTTTAAATGTGGCACCTTTAGAGCAGTCGGTCAACCCGATGAAAGAGCCAGTGCAAATAGAAGTTTCACATCAGGTGGGCTTGGAAATGTCTCAAAGCACAGGTCCTAAGCTCATAGGATCTAGTCTCCCTGTGGACCCAGGAGAACAGAGTATGGGAACGTTTACACTACGTAACAACCCTTTAGCGTCAGATCAGAAACAGGCTGAGGAGCAAGTGTTGGGCGAGTCTTCGCATGACAACATGCAGTGCGAAGTATAGCTAGTTGTGCTGTTAACTTTACTTCTAAACTGGATTAATGGTTTGTTTAGTATGGAATTGCAGAGGAGCGGGCAGTCGAAGCTTGCCGAGGCTACTCGAGGACCTTAAGAAGAAGCATGAGCTGAAATTTCTTGCACTTTTAGAGCCCCGCCAGAAAAGTGCACGTGTGAATAAGCTAGCTAGACGCCTAAGGTTTCAAAATTTTGACTTTGTGGATGCACGTGGATTCAGTGGGGGGATTTGGTGCTTTTGGGAGAAGGACTTTAGGTTCCGTGTCGTATTGAAGACTGACCAAGTGGTGCATGGCATCGTAAATGAAGGACTAGCGGATGAAGCATGGTTTACTATTGTCTATGGCAGGCCTAACTTTGCACAACGTCGCACACTTTGGGAGTCTCTTCGACGAATTGGAGAGAATATTACTTCTCCCTGGTGTATTATGGGTGACTTTAATGCAACGTTACGGACATCAGATCGTTTGTCTCATGCTGCAAGGAGCGTGGGGGCAGATCATCGTTTCTGCAGTTGGGTTGATGATTTGGGCCTTGCGGAACTACAGTTTTATGGTCCCCAATTTACTTGGAGCGGTAGTGGATGCTTTAGCAGGATTGATAGGGCCATAGTTAATCATCTTTGGCAGGAGAGGTATACAGAGGCTAAGGTTATTCATTTACCTAAATATCACTCTGATCATTCTCCTTTGTTATTGAAAATGGCTGTGGTACAGAATAATAGTAGAGGCATGCGACCTTTCCGCTTCTTTGCACCATGGGTGACACACGAAGGCTTTTCCGAGTTTGTGAGCTCCTCTTGGGGTACTAATTTGGAATGGAATCAGGCCGTGGAGGATTTTACGGTTAAGGTGGTACAATGGAGCAAGCAAACTTTTGGCCATATAGGTTTCCAAAAAAGTCAGCTCAGTAAGAAACTTCATGATCTTGAAAGGCAATTATGTGTAACTCCATTCTGTGAACGGATTGCTCGCGAAAAGGAAGAGGTTTGGTGCGCACTAGAACGCCTTCTGATACAAGAGGAAATTATGTGGCTCCAAAAGTCAAGATGCAACTGGTATTCTTTCGGGGACAAGAACACTCGCTATTTTCATGCTTGTGCAAATAGCAGAAGAAAGCGCAACCGAATAGAGGCGATTAAGCTTCAGGATGGTGAGTGGTCGTATGATAAAGAGGAGATTATGAAAGAAGGGACTAGATATTTCGAGCAGCTATATAGGGAGGAAAGCGGTGAGTCGCCAAGGCTTAATTTTGAACTTTCTTATCCTAGAATTAAGGAGAGTGATATGATGATGGTGGGGGACAAGGTGGATGCTGAGGAAATTAAGAAGGCTATTTTTGCTATGGGTCCCTTAAAAGCTCCCGGACCGGATGGTCTTAACCCCTTATTCTTTCAAAGCCAATGGAATGTTGTGGGTCAATCAGTTGTGAGTATGGTAGAATCAATCCTTAAGGATCCAAAGAGAATTGGTACGGTTAATGACACATCCATTGTGGTCATCCCAAAAATTGAGTCGCCAGAGTCACTCAAGGACTTTAGACCAATAAGCTTGTGTAATGTTATCTATAAAGTGGTGACTAAGGTGTTGACAAATAGACTGAAGAGTATTATGCCTAATATAATCTCCCCGAACCAGTGTAGTTTTGTCCCTGGACGCCAAAGTGCTGATAATATTATCCTTGCCCAGGAGATTATACATTCGATGTCCCAGAAGCAATGTAAAAAGAGTTTTATGGCAGTCAAGATTGATCTTGAGAAGGCTTATGACCGTTTGAGATGGAGTTTTGTCATGGATTGCTTAGAGGAGTTACGGCTTCCTAGTTGGATGATTGCACTAATAAAGGAGTGTCTGTCCTCCTCTCACATGCACCTTGTGTGGAATGGGGAAAGAGCCTGCTCGTTTAAGCCCTCCCGTGGGATCCGACAGGGAGACCCATTGTCTCCCTACCTATTTGTGATTGCGATTGAACGCTTAGCACATTTAATTCAAGCCGAGGTTGTGAATGGAGTGTGGCATCCGTTTCGCTTGAAGAAAAATGGTACGCCTATCTCACATTTGTTTTTTGCTGATGATCTCCTCTTGTTTGCTGAAGCTGGTTTAGAACAGGCTGGTGTTCTTAAGGCTTGTCTTGATGACTTCTGTGAAACCTCTGGAGAGCGAGTGAATGCTTCTAAATCTCGGGTATTCTTTTCTGCGAACGTGAGTCATTCCCGTAAACAGGAAATTAGTAATTTTTTGGGCTTTACTCTCACTCCTGATTTAGGGAAGTACCTTGGTGTCCCTTTACACCATAAGCGTGTCTCCAAAGCTACGTACCAGGGTGTGTTGGATAAGATGGACAGCCGACTCTCCAGATGGAAAGCCTCGCATCTCTCTCTAGCTGCTCGGAACACTCTCGTTGCTTCGGTGGTGTCAGCTATTCCGTCGTATGCCATGCAGACATGCTCATTACCATTGGGTATGTGTGAGGACATTGATCGTAAGTGTCGTTCTTTCCTTTGGGGTTGCACGCCGCAGGCTCGTAAGATGCATTTGGTTGCTTGGGAGGATGTGTGCAGGCGAAAAGAGGATGGGGGTCTTGGGCTTCGAACAGCAAGGAAGCAGAATGATGCATTCATGACGAAGTTGGGTTGGGGCTTAATAAAGAGAAGAGACGCACTATGGGTAAGGTTCCTTAGGGAAAAATACAAATGCGGAGAGGATGTCATACCTAGAATTGATGAGAGAAGGGCGGGCTCTCAGGCGTGGAAGGGGATAAAGAAAAACTGGAAGAATACGATGCATGGGCTTGCGTGGAGGATAGGAGATGGATCTTCTACTCGGTTCTGGAGGGATAGGTGGGTTCCGCAATACGAAGCCCTGCAGAACTATGCGGTGCAAAGTGTACCTGATGAACTCCTTGATGTTAAGGTCTCCGACCTGTTGACGGTGTCGGGGGGTTGGGACCTAAGCTCTGTGCAAGAGCTTCTGCCGCCGAACGTGCTTTCTGCGATAAGGAAAGTGCACCCTACAGTTAGGGGGAACGTTAGCGATACTCCCCTATGGCGATGGTCGAGTTCAGGCTCCTTCACACTTAAGTCAGCCTATAAGCAGCTCAACGAGGGCAGTCTGCAGCATCAGCCCGGGCCTTGGCGTAGAATTTGGAAGCTGAAGGCACCACAAAGGTGTAAGACGTTCTTATGGCTTGCTGCTAGGGAACGACTCCAAACATATTCCTTGCGCAAGGTTAGAGGCCTTGCATCCGACGACAAGTGCCCCATTTGCCTGCGTGAATGTGAATCTGTTACCCATGCCCTTTTGCTATGTCAATCAGCTCGGGAGAAATGGGAGCTAGTGGTGCCACCTGAGCTACGTACAAAGTTCTTCAACTTTTCGGACGCTGCGAGCTGGGTTCGATGGAATTTGAATCAGAAGTTAGACGTCAATGGGGTTCATTGGGGAGTCTTATTTGCCATAGCTTGTCGGAATCTGTGGATTGCGAGGAACATGAGAATATTTCAGGGTACCAGCGAGTCTCCAGCGTCATTTAAAGCTAGAACCTGGGCTTGCGCCTCATGGGCAGGTACAAGAATGCAGTCGCTACAGGGGCTCCCCGTTGGAAATGAGATCTGGTCTGCTCCGGCAGTAGGTTATGCGAAGATGAATGTTGATGGGGCTTGGAGCGAGGCTACCCTTGCTTCAGCTTGTGGCGGTATCCTTCGTGACCATTCGGGTTGGTTGCTGCAAGGCTTCATGTTTCACATCGGGACTGGGAGTAGTGCCAACGCTGAGGTTTGGGCAATACTTTGGGGTCTAAAAATTGCATGGGATGCTGGGTTTCGCTGTGTGGAGTTGGAGAGTGACTGTGCGGAGGTGGTGGATTGGATACATGAGGGTACCCATGTGTCAAATGAGAATGAGCCACTGGTGGGTGAGATTCGTCGTATGTTGCTCTATGACTGGGTTGCCAATGTGTCAGTCTGTTCGAGGACCGTCAATGAGGCCGCTGATATAGTCGCCAAACATGCTCTTGGTTGTGCACCAGGTCTCACTCACTTCTCTTCTCCAATGGAAGCTCTTAGCCGAGTGCTTGAGAAGGATGCGGGACCTTTTAGTGGTCCTTCTATCGTTAGTTTGTTACGAGAGTAGTGCTGGTCTCTTTGTAGCTTTGCACTTGTTATCAAAAAAAAAAAACTAAAATAACATTAAATTTAGGAACAAAATTACTTTTTTTTCAAATTTGAGCGACTAAATTTAAAACAAAATAAATTTTAGAAAGTAAAATGCTTTTAACCGTATAAATTATTAGTGGAATTAGTTTTTATCATCTTGTCAGTGTTTCAAAAAACAAAAGTTACTGGAATTGGAGAGTGTTTGAAACACCACATAATTACTTTTTCAGAAGTATTTTTTTATAAATTGAGACAAATTTCCTTACGTATTTATTTCGTACACCGTGAGATAATTTTATTGTTATCCAAACATCAAATTAGTTGAAGAAGTCCAAAGGAAAACTTGGAAGTTAGGTTCGCTGATTTCCCATTGTCTATGTAGGACATGGTACGAGGGAGATCGGTTTTCTGGTCGCGAGAATTATGGAGAGCAGGAGGGCCGAAGTAGGGAAGCCGATGATGCTGCTGTTATGCGGCACCCTGGTATACTATCACTGTGCCTACCGGAATTCTAGCCTCGTTTCTTTGGTCTCCGATGTCTTCATCGTTCTCCTCTGCTCCCTCGCCATTCTCGGCCTTCTCTTCCGTCAAATGAACATATCGTAATCACCCAAGTTTCCTTTTTTTCCCCTTCATCTTTCTCGTTGTACTATCCAATTAGGGTTTTTTTTTTTTCCTTTCCTTTTCTTGTTCAATCTGCTTTTCTGTATATAACGATACTTTGACACGATTTAGTCTTAGCTCTTAGTTGACTTAAACATGGATGACGGGATTTCCTATTTCTCAATACTAATTGCTAGCATAATCAGTTAGAACAAAATTATTTGGTCCTTTTGATTTTTTAATTTTTGAAATTTTGAATTATCGCCTTGGTTGGCGTCTTGGACGGCTGATATGATTTCATAAGAAGTGTATTGGTAGTATTGTCTATGTTGTGCGTATGTCTTTAGTCTTCTTTTTCATCAGATTCACGCTTAGATGCAGAAGGAAGATGTGTGTTCTTCATTTGCAAATGGCCTTCATATTTTCAACTTATCTAATACACCCTATCCCCTTCTGAAAAACTGTTTTAGGGTCCCAGTCGATCCACTTGAATGGCAAATAACTCAGGACACTGCTAATAGCATTGTTGCGTGGTTCGTTAATACCATAGGTGCAGCCGAGTCTGTATTAAGAGTTGCAGCAACAGGGCATGACAAGAGACTGTTTCTAAAGGTATTATTTAGTTTATGCAACTTAAATCTATTTTCAGGTAGTAAGAAACATCAATGCAATCTCCAGAAATTGTGGTTTTTCTTTGTTGTTTTACGTATCATAAGTCTTTATTTAATGTTTATATAAGAGAAACACATGAGCATGAGCTATTTGAATTCAAGTTTAGCTAAGGCGTGAAACTATGGATGTTGAATTTAAAGTTATTGGAGCAAATGAAAATGAGCCACTATTGGCTCAACTTATTCTATGGTTATGGACGTGCCTTTGAGAAGATTGGGAGGCAACTCACCATTTCATCTGATGGAATGTCATTAGTTTGGCAATTTATGCATCTTTTGCTTATCTTGATTGCATTTTAATATGTTTTCCATTCATTCGCAATCTGTTAACATCCTCTGCCAACATTCAAGGTTGTTTGATCATTGAATAAGAATTCATTCACCCTGCCATTCTCTCAAAGTGTTGGACTATTTGTGTGCTTAGATTCAAGAAAGCACTGGTTCATTTTTGACGGTTATAATCTCAAAGTAGTTGTCATGCATTGATTTTGCTTTTGATGAAGAGGCATGTAAAAGAACTAATGGTTTATGTACATCTTATTTCAGGTGATTTTTTGCCTTTATGTATTGTCTGCTTTAGGAAGATTGGCCCTGGGTGCAACAGTTGCCTATGCTGGTATCTTACCTTAATATCCACTTTTCTTGTTCCTTCTTTTGAGCTACCAGAGTAATTAACTTTTTCTTTTTACCTTTTTCTCCTGAAATAGTGTAATGATTTTGAGTTCTAGATTTTCTCTGCTTTTCTAGTTGCAAATTGTGGGCTGTATCTTTTTGATGCAGAGATGAAAACTAGAGCCAGTTAAGAATAATTATATGTCAAAAGAGCCAATTAACTAGAGCTATAACACATTTATATAATGTTAATTTTGAATTCCAAATCATTAACATGGAGTGTCAGAAAAATGCCTGGAACCTTCCCCCCCGGGGGGGGGGAGATTTTTGTTCTACTTCTATATTCTTGGCCCATTTTATTCTTCTTACCGATCGTAAATCTTTTCCGCACCAAATGCAGATTTGAATTTATGGTTTAGCTGAGATTTATGTCCTTTATTGGTGCAGGATTATGCTTGTTTTGTCTTTATATGTTTATGGAGTGTTCTCATTCACTTAGCTCATGTGTGGCCTGGTTCTTGGGAAAAAGAAATGACAACGGGGAAGAGCAAGACACAATGTAGCATATTAGGTTTGCACTTGACTTGTGGTGCAAGATTTTGTGTGTACATTGAAAGTTAGCTAATCACCAATCAAATAACCTATTGTGAATGATTTACTTTGTAAATTATAAGGATCAGAGGGGATGGTTATGCTGTTAAGTAAACTGTTGAAAAAGCCCGAGCAGGCCGCTTGACATCAATGGCAATCCTTTTGACATGGAAATAGAAACAGATGAGTTAATTGTAAACATGTGTTATTCTGGTTAATACTATGCTTGTTTCTATTCTCAGCCACAATCCCCACATCTAGGCCCTCCTCGGGTCGGTTTTAAGCTCAGTGCAGAACGAGACACTTGATTGTGACACGACTTAGAGATTATACGGCTGCTAAAATTGAATCACTGGGGATTTTAATTAAATCGTGTTCTATGAGAAAAAACCTGGCTTGTTAATTACGGAGCATCATGCATGCTGAAATTGGGCCCAAACATAACAAGTGCGCATGATGGCTTAGAAACCATTTGCAAATTAACATTCTCTGATAGGAAATGAGCAAAATAACAGGGTGAGGAAGGGACAGCATGTAGTGAAAAGTTGTCCCGCATCAAGAGGGAACAGTGTTTGAAGGAGGAAAAGGGCCAAAAAAAAATAACAGTAATATGTAAAATAATAAAGGGTTAATATAACTTTTGGTTCTTTAAGTTTGTCCTCATTTTGATTTTTATCTCTCAAGTTTTTTTTATTTAAAACATTAATCCTTATAACTTAATTAAAATCTAGATCATTTTGCCCTTTGAGGGGTTAAAACATATGATTTGAAATTTGAGAGACTAAAACCAAAATGAGAACAAATTTAAGAAACCAAAGATTATTTATTAATCCAATAGTAAATGAAAATATTTAAATTGGAAATTTGGATATTGAAACATGGGAAAACCATGATTCAAAAAACTAGACCGGATCGGCCGGTTTAGGTAGGAAGCCTACCAGTTTTTCTGTTCAGTTCATCACTTGAACTAGGAAAAAATTGAACTCGTACAGAGTAGATTTACCCGACACCAACGGGTGGTAACCTGCGTAAACTGTTGGTTTAAGGAGGTTATCCGATTCAATATTTTTATACGGGTTAAGGTGCGCTTAGCACCCCAAACTATTTTTCCAGGTACACCCAGTGTCCTAAAGTAATTTTCGATGCATTCAGTGTCCCAAACTAATTAAAACGATGCATCCAGGCTAACAGAAAATTTAAGTTTGACCGTTATTTGCTGACTCAGCTGAAGGTTGACCGATGTCACGGACACGTAGGCGTTTGATGTGTATTATTTTGACGGGCCAAGGTGCGCTCAACACCCCGAACTATTTTTTCAGGTGCGCCCAGTGTCCTAAATTTTTTATATATCCAGTGTCCCAAACTAATTAAAACGGTGTGTCCACATTCCAAGTTAACAGAAAAGTCTCGTTTGACCGTTACCTTACTGACTCAGCTGAAGATTGACAGAAAAATCTTACATGGCGGATACATAGACGTCTGATGTGTATTATTTTGACTAAAGCTTCCCAGACGAGTCCGGTAGCAACAAGTGTTTTTTCAGAAGGCAACGACGATGTCGACGAAGTGACCAGGGGAAAGTTCACTATGTTCTAGGAGGAGGAAAACAAACGCAAGTCGGATGATGAGGAGTTGATAGAGATGGAGATGGAAGTGTGTGGTGGAAGAAATGGGATAAAATCTTAAAGATGAGGATAGGATTGAATGGGTGGTACATCTGTCAAGGTTTAAGAGGGTGGATTGGTGGTCTTTCTTTTTTTTAAGTTTTAAAACTGGCAAAAGATAAATGTTAGAAAAGGAGGAAATAAATTGAATTTTCAGTCAAAATAATACACATCAGACGCTTGTGTCTGCCATCTAGGATTTTTCCGTCAACCTTTAGCTGAATGAGTAAGGTAATGGTCAAACGAGACTTTTCTATTAGCTTGGGATGTGGATGCACCGTTTTAATTAGTTTGGGACACTGGATACACAAAAAATTACTTTAAGACGCTGGGCGCACCTGAAAAAATAATTCGGGGTGCTGAGCGCACCTTGGCCAGTCAAAATAATACACATTATATGCCTATGTGTCCGCCACGTTAGCCAACCTTCTGCTGAGTCAGCAAATAACGGTCAAACTTAACTTTTCTGTTAGTCTGGGATATGGATGCACCGTTTTAATTAGTTTGGGACACTGGATGCACCGAAAATTACTTTAGGACACTGGGTATACCTAAAAAAATAGTTCGGGGTGCTGGGCACACCTTAACCCTTTTTATACCTGCTCAGAACATCGCAGAATTCTGAGGAAAAAAAAACCAATTGATTGGAAAACGAAGAAAGAGGAAGAGAAAGAAAATAGAGGAAAAGATATCTAAAATAACTTGCTTTACAAGAAAACTCTTGAAAATCATGGTAAAAAACGAAGTGAAAGGATTCTTTCAGGAGGTTCACATGGAAGGAGGAAAATATGTTTCAGGAGGTAAAAAGTTTGTTGTGTAAGAAGACTGAAAAATAGAGAGAAGGGAGAAAAAAGACCTCCAACGAGACCTAATGCTAGAGATTCAAAGCTTTGGAAAATGACCAAAAAAAAAAAAGGGGGAAGGTATAAATGACACCTCTGAGACTAAACCATGTAACAGACAGCTATTCTATTTCCTTCCCCCCCCCCCCCAAAGGTATCTGATAGTCATTCATTCCGTATACTAACACATATATGTTTTATATTCTTTTTCTTTTTCTTTTTTACCGTTTTCTAGAAGGGATATATTGTTCCTTTATTGCAATTATAATACATATCATATATCGTATTTATTATTTAATAGAATGTTTTTAAGTATTACTTTTATTAAAATATTTTTATAATTAAATATGAATATTTTTAAAAATTTGATTTAAATTATACTTGTTAAATAATCACTGGTTTAACTTTGGGTCAATCCCGATCTAACTCATTAACTCTTAACCTAATACCTCAACTGATTCACTAACCAATCCGGTTTTTTTGAACCTTAGGAAAAACCCATTCCACCCACCACACTTGAATTACTTTAATCATCCTCACAATAAATCGAAAACTTTCCCCACCTTGGAACCTTCCCGAGACTTCCATACCAACAGGAAGAAAGCCCCAAGAACCAGTTAGCGAGCAACTACTACAAAAACAATCATCCAGTTCTTGTTAAACTATAAAGAATGAGTCTTGTGGACAAGCAAAACGTCCTTCCATGCTTCATAGAACATCCAGGTGATGCCTGAGGATGGCATGACCTTCAAACAGCTAGCACCCCATCCCCTGTAAAGCCCCAACAGACCCTCTTCTCGTACAACTTCCGCAAGTGCCCCCGCCATGTGTGGTGGGCACTTACCCTGCAAAGCTCCTACCATAAGGCGTTTTCTGGCCACCTCCAGGGGGAAGCTGATTGTGCTTGCAGTAAAACCTAGCATGCCACTAAGGTCAATCAGTACAACCATTAATGTCACTAACTAAAAACATTCAAGTTCTAACCAGATAGAAACCTATAATTTAAACGAGCTGCGTTAGTTGCCAGGCCAAGTGAAACATTAACGACGTTCTAGTTGAATATCTATCCAATCTATCTGATAATATATAAATAGCAGGAATCTTTTTTTTTTTTTTGGGTACAAAAAAAGTTTAGAATAATTGGGTCCTGAGAGCTCACCAAGACCAGGGCATACATCTAAGCTTAGAGAGCATTTTTAGAGGTACTTACAGATTGCTCACCAAGAATATCTTCACATTAGCAACAGGATCCAAACTCACAAACTTGTGGGTTATAAACCAACTCCTTATCAACTAAACCAACTTTTATTAGCTTGTGAATCTAATTTAATGTATTTGGCTTGTGAATCTAATTTAACGTATTTGACTTGTGAATGTTATTGGATTGTATGAGGCCGTGTTTTGTTTTTGTTTGTTTTTTGTTTTCCCTCTTTTTTCATAATTGAGTTCAAATTAAACAGAGAACTAGATATTTGCCTATACCCAACAATTGATACGTTTCCTCCCTCCCTCACTCCTCTCTCATTTAGTCTAAAACAGAGTGGAAGGATGACAATCAAAAAGCAAATAGATAATTTCTATATTAAAATATTTTTTTGGCATCACTCATTTGTTGGTTGCAACTGGGGACATGAAAGAATTTGTACGAATGCGTGGAATTGAACAAGAGAGATAAAGAGAGAGAGATAGACCATAGTATGAAGTCCAGCAATTACAACAGAATCTCTTACCTGCTAGAGCTCCAATCAAAAGCATCTCTGGCCGGTTTAGCGACTTCTTATTTTTAGACTGGCAGTAAGATTGCTTCATGGTGTCATACATGAAATAATAACACGTACTGTATGGGAGCATGCCAATTAATGTAGGTGAAATGCCAGAATAAAAAGCACCAATGCCACCCTCTTTATAAATTTTGCTAACTGCAAGACCTAAATTAGGGTAGGTCTCAGGACTTACAGTCAACCTATCCTGTAAGAAATCAAACCATGATCAGCATTGGGAGCAAAAGCAACAGACATGAATGCAGGGCTTAAATATTTTCAACTCTTGGTCATTATGAACTCAATTGACAAATATAATCCCATAGATTGTGGTGTCATCATGGAATTGTGATGCATGTTAACTGCGTAAATACAACAATAAAAAATAATCCATTATATTTTAATAATTCTACTTCTTACTTTATAACATATTCCAAAAGTACAAATACCTTCAACACTTCCAAGGGATGGCACGCAAGTGTGCCCATGATTCCAGCAGCTGCACCAGCCACAGCAACTGGAGAAATCCAAGACAAAGAAAAGTTCAAATCGATGCAACCTATCTGCAACTTGGGGCATTGCTTTTGCTCCCATTTCTCTTGCAATGAAGTCATTGACCGTTTTACCCACTCAAATGTGCCAAGCTCAATTGCTTGCGTAGGGATTATACGAAGCATATTGATTCCGTTCCCAGCCCATAGCCCCTGCCAACCCTGCTGATCTATTACCTCCAAGAAACTTCCCATGATGTTTTTCGACCCAACACCAACCACCATTCTTGTTCTGCATGGGGTACAGAGTATGAGCTTGGTAATAACATTAAATATTGCAGACAATTAACTTTCACATGCTAGCTAGTAATTAGCAAATGCAAGCAGAACTTAGTATTTCACAAGGGAACTTGAACCAAAGAGGCTGAAAACCTTGCAGCATGTCGTCGTATTGAACTTGAGACTCAACAAAATGTGGTATTTTTTTCTTCTTCATGTCTCTGTTTAAAATTCTAAATCGCTACAATGATATTTCAAATAAATAAGAAACTAATCCCCGCTGAAGCAAGCAAAGGCTTGATTTAAAATTTTCAGATATTCGCTCACTGAATTTTATTTTTGGTAAAAGAATGGTATTACATGTTGAGAAACACACCTCAGAGTATATCTACACATAAGCATTTCAAAAGCACAGAGACTTTATTATATAGATGAGCATTGGACAAAAAGTATAAAACGAAAACCAAGCATCCAACCTGATTGTCTCAAGGGGAGCAAGTACAGCTTTAGTCATAGCCCCTGCTAGCGCCCCACTTACAAACTCACCAACCTCTCTAGTCCCCAAAAATTCCTGAATAATGGAAAAGCCATGTCTTTATGAGGAGCAAAAACAACAATCCCATGAAATAAGCACTTAACCAAATATAATCATGATGCAACAAATACAGCCCAGTATAAGAAACTAAGAAATTTTTTCTCTCTATATTTTGTCTTATTTGGTTCAATGGAACATAACAGATCAAAAGGCCCTCAATAAACTCAACCTTCTTAATCACCAGCATTCTTGCTACAACAATGATCTATAGCATTGCCTCTACCCTATCACAATTCTAGCATTTTGCTCCCCACAACTAACCAGTAGCCACACCTTTAAAGAACATTGATAACTGGATTCCAGCTTTGTTCAGCCCACAAGTTTTCATGACCAGTCACTTCTAGCTCATGCTCATTTCTGATTCAATTTCAGTACTAATTTACTCATGCACCATATGACTAAACCTAGCAACAATATATTCCCATTTCTCTAGCACAGTGCACAAGTGATGTGAATCAAACAGCCAAACTCTAATTATCAATAAATTAAAAAGTAATACTTGCCCTGAGTATTGTTAAAATTAATCAAAACGCATACCAAACTCCCCTAAAACAAAAAGGTATCCCAAAGTTTAGTTCATTTTTTCAATAAATGATATCTTATATGCTTCCGTCAGTGCTCCGGTAGATAGGTGGTTTACTTTTCTCCTTTCAACTTTTATATGATCTCCTCCTTATGTACCTTTCCATTTTTTTTCCTGTTTCCTAGTTCGTCTAGCTATCATCTTACGCATAAAATCAGGGATATAAATATCATTACTAATGTTAATATTAATATATACATTAGCATAACATTCATATGAGGGACTTCTAAGGAACATACAAGATTTCGCAGAGGCCAAGGCTATCTATCATTATTAAATTATTAAATAAATATGTATTCACATATAAATATAGATATTTAAAATACAATAAAACAATCTGATGAGGGAAGAAGATAGCCACTATCAGCCAACCCCTGCACCAGAGGATGATTCATGACACAGCCACACTCTGAGATCCCATTTGGTCCGATGCATTAAAAATGAGGAGTAGGGATTGAGATTGAGATTGAGAAAATCTATTAAAAAAGTGTCTAGCAAGAAAGATTGCTTGTTACATGAGATTGGACAGACTCATATATGTGGGTTTGAGAAATACCAAGGGGGGACATGGTATTTCCCAGTCCCACCTCCATAAATTTGTCTAATCCTATGTAACAAACAATTACCTATGTTAAATACTTTTTAATGATTTTTCTCAATTACAGTTCTAGTTCCCATCCCTCATTTTCAATGCGTCGTACCAAACGGGACCTATGTTCATTGGAAGTCTGAAAGAGAATGCTAGACAAAATCACAGCCACATCCTGTGAAATGGAATATGTTGAATTCTCAACCACACTACCATGGTGACATAAACATCCAAGTACCAGAAGTGGCGCACAAACCCATGCATATATTTTAAATGGTCGAACAAAGAAAGGAAAAAATGACTATACTTCAGACCATAACATTATGTAAAATTAATAGGCAAAGAAGTAACAATACCGTACAAGAAATATTGACCTACAAGCAAACTACCAATGTAAGAGGTCCACATTGATAATCTGAATGTACTCAGTACAGATTGAGATAAAATTGAGTTACTTGCTCAAAAATGTGTCCTTTTCATATTCTTATTGAACTCAAACAATCCCCTGTCGATTACTGGTCCATCAAATAGGATTCCGAATTTAGACAAACATAAAAGACTAAAATAAATAGACAAAGATTCATTATGAAGAAACTTCCGAATCTAGAGAAAAACAGGGTGAAGTCCAAAGCAAGTTACTTCTTAGCTCCAAAGCCGCCCTCCCCATCGTTCCAATAACAAAAAGAGTACAAATAAAGCCAACAACTTGAGGTCATCCGCAATAAATTCTTTCAACCTTCCCTTCCAAGAGATGGCTGCCTTTTATATTCAGTGTTTACTGTTTTACCACCTTGGGCGTTTCCAGGCACCGAAACTTTACTTGTCCCTTTTTTCAAAAAATAAACTAAGTTTTCTGTTCAATATAAATTAGCAGGAAAAAAGGACTCACCCTGAGGACGTGCTTGATGTCAGGCAGTTGAAATCGAACATCAAATTTATCTACTTTCTCGATGCCCATCTCTTTTGGAAGCATTACGTAGACGTCTCCGAACACCCCATGGCCCCCGCCATCACTCCCGCGGTTCTTCTGCGGTAGTGATTCAAATTACATTCTGTCTTGTTAGCGTGTAAGGTAAATACGATATGCATATGTATATATATATACACACTTATGTATGTATATGTATCTATATTATGTGTGCGCGCGCGCGCGAATTATAAGCATGAAGCTGCAGGCTTTGTGATCGTAAGCAACGAAGAAAACAGAAGATCCTAATACGAAATTAATGTTTTTGGCAAATAGAAGTTACTAGAGCTATGAGACAAAGAAAACTCTGGGAGTGATTGAACTGACTTGCCTGAGTGAGGGAAGGGATTTTAGACATTAGATACTTCACTCTGGGTGTCGGCTTTTCGCCGGGATAATGCAAAATTTTGCAAATTCTTGCCCGAGCTATATCATTCTGCTTCTCATATCTGGCTCGAACTAGGGTTTTGTTCAAGGGTTTAGGGGCACTTTCGCCCTTCCCCCCGATAGATATATTCGGTGCCGCGAAAATTCGGAAATTTAAAGAATCTGGTCCATCCCGGTGTCACCGAAGGGGAACATGTACATGAGAAAAGCAGTTATTACTATCATTTTTTCATACGAGAGCTGAGAGGGAATTATGAATAGATGAACAGATTCTTCGCAAATGAATCAGTAAATATATATCATATATTTATTTTAATCCTAAATATAACATTTATTTCTTAAAATAAATATATTGTATATTTAAAACTGGAAGAATATTTAAACATCCAAATAAAATATAAAATTTATAATAAATCACATGATTCTTACATAAAATTTTGTGAGTTAATTTGATTGACTGAACGAATAACTTGTTAATTAACTTACTCCGATATACGTAAATTTTATACATGCATCATATTCCTTCGATCCTTAATATAAGACCCAATTCTTAAGTTAGTTTTGATTCTAAATATGAGATTCATTTCTCATATTTATTAATTTTTTCTAAATTACTTTTATGGATATTCTCTCAATCATAATTAAGTAGAAGAGGGAGATGGAGTATTAAAAAAGATGATTATGGTGTTTTAGGAAAAATGTGTCACTTTTCTTATAATTAACTAACTTGCCTAACTTTCTTAATCTAATCAAATTAATTAAATGGATATTATATTAAAGATGGAAAAAGTACCTTATAAGTTAATGTCCCGTTTGATATGGGGAACTAATTTCGAAAGAAGCAAGAGTGAATACTAAAAAAAAAGAAGCAAGGATTGGTAGTTAAAAAATGAATACTTTGTTGGCTGCACCTATGTATGATGCATCAATTGGTAACACATTTGAGCATTCAAATACTAATAAGTGACTTATATTATCCATTGTTTATGAATCATGTGTTTTATTATTATTTAGTTTGGATGTTCAAGTATATGATATGTATTGATTGATTCATTTTTCATACTTCAAGGAATCTGTATTCATTTATTATATTTTATATTTATTATTTGTTGACATTTCTTGGTAATTCTCTCTTAGTTCTCGTGTATTACATCGATCTTTAATATAAAATATAATTGACTAATTTAGATAGGTAAAAAAGTAAATAAATTATTTAAAGTATTTATACTTATTGTTTTTTTTTACAAAATAATTTATTTGACTTATAAACTAATATATAATTCAGTAATACGCATAAGTATTTTAAAGAGATTACATAACACGTGTTGTAATTAAGCCATTTATTAATATATTTATTTTCTTAAAATTAGTTAATTGTATTTTTTTACCAGCAGTTAACTGTGTTTTATTATCTTATATTAAAGATCAAATATACAGTAGTAGTAGTAATAATAATAGATAAACCAAATCTCGTTGTATAATATATATATATATATATTGCTAAAGTATATGTATCCTCTTATTGGATGCAACTCTATTTGAAGCACTATCGGGGACTAAATGGAGGCATCTCTCCTAGCGGGATTCGAGTTTTGTTTGTTATGTTGTGAGAGACTGCTCCTTCTGCTAGACCCAACTCACATTATGTATAATATATATTGATTCATATTCTATAATTTCATAGCATAGGTGGACTCCTAATGTGTCATTCTCATAAATATATTATATATGCACCCAAAAAATGCATTTCTTCTAGGTGGAGAGGAGAAGGTTGTACTAATTATTACACATAGTACTAAATTAATTAACAAGTAGTCAATAAGTTAACTCATAAATATGATACAGATTAGAGGTACACTAAGTTACAACGAAGATGGCTAATGACGCTTCCATTGTTATTAACTATCAATTTTATGGCCCATGCAATATAGTCTAACATCATCCATAGATACACAATATGGTATCCTCAACCAAATACTATCCTGAGGCAATGTCATTCCAACACAATCTACTAGATACACTCAAAATGAAAAAAAAAAAAAACAAAAAGTGGGGTTTTCAAAAACAAGGGAACACAACTTACAACTAGAGAGGAATTCTATTGGACTGAATTCCATAAATGAAGAACACGCAAAAATAAGTCAGCAACATATTGAATATCTATGGATGTTGTTTGACTATGCTGCATGGCCGTCAAATTTGTGGTTAACAAGTACGGAAGCACCATTAGCCACCTTCAATATAGCTTAGTGTCCCTCTATTGTGTTATAGATTTATAAGTTAATTTGATTGGCTCAAAGAATACTTTATAAGCACTTTTCATAAGCAGCTCATCAACAAGACTATCATATTTTCTGATTGGAGATATGATGTCTTGATTGAAAACATTTTTTTTTAGGAAAACTTATCAAGAATTATTTTATGATTTGAATTTCCGTGGCGGCTAATTTGATTGCTTATTGGTTGTGGAAGTTATTGAACAAAGATACTGAAGTCAGAGTTTGAGGGAATAAATTAGGGGGGGGGCATTGATTTGTGTTTTTGTATGGATGTCGTTATATTTTCTGATTTGATTTGATTTGGATGGTTTGGTTTTCATAATTTTTTTTTGAAATATTTAAGTTTAAATTCTAAATTATACTACTTTGATCTCAGGAGGTGTTTGGGAAGCATTAGAAGTGTTTCTGAAAAACATTTTTCGGCAAATCGAGATAAACTCCTTCACATATTTATTTCGTATATCGTAAAAGCACTTTTAAAGCCATTGTTTTGATTCTATCCAAACATCCTTTTAATTATAAGATCTCGTATTTAGTAAGGAGTCTTATAATTATGACGGAATGGTGATGCTTTTCCGGTTCTTAATATAAGACCTATTTAACTAATTTGATTAGATTAAGAAAGTTGGTTAAGTTAGTTAATTATAAGAAATGTGACGCGTTTTTTATAAAATATTATAATCATCTTTTTAATACCTTCTCTTCTCTTCTATTTAGTTATGGTTGATAGAGTATCTACAGAAGTAATTTATAGAAAATTGAAATATAAAAATGAGTCTTGTATTTAAAATCAAAACCATCTTAGTAATTGGATTCTATATTAAGTATGGAGGAGTATAATTAAGCTACATTTTATATTAAATCGTAACTCAATGGAATTTTATACTGCAAAGCAAGCACCATTTTCCGCTTGATACTTTTTGAAGCCGATTGCCACTGTCGTTGCAATTGCCAGTTGACAATGGGAAAACCGCGCCCAAATGCCTGACCTAATCACACATTTCTCGGTAAAAATTCAGCTTTCTTGGAAGAACCTTGATTTTTCGATTCTTAGGAGTTCAAAGCATTTGACATTTGATTGAAATCGGAGCCGACTCAATGGCCAAGAAACTAGTCACTAGGCGGGAGCTTCTGGACCGGTGGAGAGGCATTGAAGAAGAGGAAGAAGAAAACGACGATGGGGATAACAATGATCCTCTCAAAGGCCGTCGCCTGCACCAGCACAAAGAACAATGGTCACCTCCATTTTTCTTTTATCTTCTTCCTGAAAGATAACGGCACATTATATGTATCACACTTTTTCACTGATATGCTCGGTTCAGAGACTGTACCTAGTGTTTACCGATATTTTGAATTCTAATTTAGTTATTGTTTTTTTTCCTTTACAAGTAACTGAAACTTTTGAGCAATACAAAGTTTCGCCTTTTACTACTTCGTGAGTCAGTGATCATTGGGATTTTATTGTCGATCTTTGAGATTGATGTCAGTGTTGGTCTATGGAGTCATACCTGATGAATCTGTGACTGTTTCCATAATCACAGTTATGATTGATTATTCTCAGGTTTGCAGATGCATATAATTTCTTGATTTGTTTGCCTAATGAAAGTCATATATGGTGTGGCTTTCGGGATATAATGGGGCCACTTCTGGAGACTTTCTACAATTTCTTCAAAGATGAACGTCAAGATTCACCTCTTAGGCGTTTGTGGAAGAGGATCTCTGGTGAAATGCGGCTCTGCCTCCAATGCGTCTCTCAGCACCATCATGCCCGAGAAATGTACAAAATGGAGTATGAATACAGCACAATTGGTCCTCTTCTTGATGTATTGCAGAAACTTGATTATGAGAGGGTGACACTACACCTGAAAGATATCAATGCAAGAATAGCAGGGCAAAAGTATGATCCTACTTGTGATAATACGGAAGTTGTCAACGCGTTGTATGAAGTAATTAATCTATTCATGTTTGAATTTTTCTTCATTCGTTGTTCTTCTCTTAATTTTGAACCAATGGATTACATTAAATTGACATTTTGAGTCTTGAAATTGTCCTTTTTGGGCATCCCTTTCTATGTAAAATTTTCCATTTCATTGGGAAATTAACAAAAGCAGAAGTATTGAACTATTGGTTATATTATTTGAGTGAACTCAAATGTCAAATTCCATTTTCCGTTTTGCTGGGTAGATCACCACATCACTTGTATGTTTTTCTCTTTACTGTTTTTAGCATTGCTTGCTAGGCGTTTCTTTGGTCTTCACAGCAGCTGTGAAATTACAATTTAGGATTTAGATTTTGTGTTAAGAATGACATGTTAGAATGCTCAAAGTTTTATGTCTTTCCTTTTCGTAAAGCTCAAGGTTTTCTGGTCTCTTACGAAAGGATAAGGAATGCAAAATTTTTGTTAATATGCCTCTAGTGTGCATTATGTGTCTTCTGCCCCTCTGGGTTGATGACACTTTCTCACAATTTTGAGCACCGTTGGGAAGCTACCAGTGATTGCATTATTTGGTGTATTTAGTTGTATTAGAATGCTTGAATGTTCAAAGATGAGCCAACTTATTTAGTGGTAGTCCGGGATAACGCTGCTATTGTTTCTTCTTTTTGGGCCTCTCTTCCCGTATTTTTTGTGATGAATTTTCCCGTTTAATTAGGTTACAGGACTGGAGAGCTTTGGAAATTGGAACTGATATGTTTCTTTGTTATGTCGGTGCCCCCCCCCAGTTTTCTTTTCATTCCTTTTTTTAGATAAAATGTCATGTTTTATTAAAAAAAATCTTTTGATGAATTGATTACTGTTTACATTAGTGCTGAAATGCAGATGAATGTCAGTGGCCTGTGATTTTTCAATTGTGTTTGATGCTAAGATGAACATTTTTCTTCCTGCTGTTATGAATTTCTGTTTTATTTTCAGTCATAGTTGCTTTTATTTGTCTTTTTGAGTCCAAAATTAACATTTCATTTGCTTCTCTTTCACTGTTTGATACAGGTATTGATGTTCCCAATTCTTCTAGAGAATCAGCCCCTATTCACTGAATTTGAGTCGTTTGTTGAAGCCATCGATAATATGCATGAATTGGCTTTGTCAGGGCATCAACAATTTCCTGTAAGCCATTTTTTTCCGTTTGCAATGTAATTCTGCTAAGATATTATGTTTTAGATTGCTTACATGATGTATTCATCCTCTTCCAGGGAGTATATGCATTGCTGTTTTGCAAGCGAAGTGTGCGTTCTGTTGGATATCGTTTGGCAGGATCAATGGGAAGATTGAGGTACCTTGTCAGCGCCAAAGGATTTGAGCTTTTAATTACAAGGATTTTTTTAATGCTTATGATGCCAATGGAAGTTGTGTTTCTGACAACAATTATATGCTTATCAGTGACGATGGTTTTCTAAAAGAAGTTTTTTTTTCCTTTAACAACAAAATGAGGAAGATCTAAAACCAGAGATCATGCCCAAGGAGTTAGCTCAGGTTATAAGAGTAAGGTGTGGGTAGAGGCCAAAGGCTCAAACCCTCGTGATTTACTTCAAAAAATAAAAAAGCTATAGATCATGTTTGTGTTTGTGGTAACATGGTAAGATATGGTTTGATTAATAATTAGTGATTAGATTGAATCTCATTGCTTACCTTTTCTTCATAGCTGTTCCAAATCTTGTTTCTCTAATGCAAGGCATGCTAGATCCTTTCTTTGTGTTTTGATAATCACAAATGTTGTTTACATTGTGCGTAGGAGAGCAACAGACTTGGAACCTTTGCAGCCAATGCTCAAGAAGTTTATTGCCTGTTTAGAGGCAGAGACTTTACCATCAGCTATGGAATATTCAACACCACAGCCACAGCCAGATCGTGCTTCTTTATGGGTCGGCTTCAAATCTTTGTAAGAAGTTATGGTTTTGGAAGTATAAAACTTGATTTTTTTCCCTTAACGTTTAATTTATCTCTGCTTTTGTTTTCATAAAACTTTTATAACTTTGTGAAGGCTTGGCTTCATGGATTCTCCAGCTTTTGAAGAAGGGTTATTGGAACACTATCCCTTTTTTCTTGATATTGTACTCAATCATATTAGCAGTGATTCAGTTGAATTTTCACATGCTGTTACTTGCTTGAGACTTCTCTTCGAAATGCTTGGTACGCACTTCCTCTTTTTAATTCCTTTTGCTTTTCTTCTCTTCATATTTTTCTTTGTATTTCTATTTGGCTAATATTTTCTTTTGACCTCTGGGCTTGGTTCAAGGTTGTAAGCTTTGGTTAAGGTCAAAATTGTCTCCAAGTGTAATGCGCAACACTCTGCTTGGTCAATGTTTCCATACTCGCAGTGAGAAAATCCATAAAGATATATTTAGTCTTTTCCAGCCTTTTCTGCAGGCATGTATGCAAAATGCTTGAGCATTGACTTTTGTTTTGTTTTCTTTCTGTTTTTTTGTCCCTCTCCCTTTTTTCTTGGTGGGAAGGTGGGGTTGTTTATAGTTGACACAATATCTCATGTTATTTGTAAGTTATTCATTTATTTTGGTAAATGTCCTTTTGTTAGCTTACATGAATGAGCCCATGTATGTGTCTAGTCTCTGGAAGCTTTGCAAGATGGAGAGCATGAAAAGCAGCGGAGGAATTTTCTCTATTTTCTTCTTCATCAAGTGCCAGTGAGCAGTAACTTCAGCATTCTAACAAGAAAATTAGCTTGCCAGGTTCGTATATATATTTCTTTAGATTCTGTTGTTTTGGTTTATCTTGGTTGCTATACATTTCAAGATTGTCTTTCCAGATATCACTTCTTGTTGTGCATCGAGGTTACACAATGAATCCGCCTTCTCCTCCTTTTGAGTGTGCACATATGTGGTACGTGCTCATTTTTTGCTTTTTTTTTGTTTTCTTTCTTTCTCAAAATCAACATTTGAGGCTTCTTTAGATCTGTCACGAGTTATCAACTTGTGTAACCATACGTACCAAAGGTAGTTGACCATCAAATGACTTTTTATAGCTCTAAATGCTAACCCAAAAGGTTCATCATTGTCTTTACTGCACCTATTTATGGATGAAGTTGATTTAACTGATGATTTCCCCTTAGGATCAGTTGTTAACTACCTGAGCTATTTTTGAACTATTTCTGCTTCTTATCTGTTACTCTTAACAAAACATTATTCTTAGTGTTCACTTAGAGGCTTAAGTTTTTGAGTAAAAAATGGCCCTTGACATATGTGAATTTGATCAGCATGGATTTTGTTTTGATTTACTTGAACTAATCTTTGATTCATGGGTGTAGTTATCTCATCATTTCTATTGTGTTGGACAGGGGACCTTCCCTTGTGTCATCCTTGAAGGACTCCTCACTTCACAGCTCTCTAAGACAGCCTGCTTTTGACCTCATGCAGACTATTATAGTATCTGATGCTACTGCATTAATATCTTCAGTGCTGAATCACTGCACACCTATAAGTAATGTTGATTGCATGGAATATGAGCTGAAGGATGACAACGATAAAGTTTGGCTCTCAACTGTTTTAGATAAAGAGAAAGATATTAGTTCTTGGAGTCAGTTTGACATGCAGAGCAGAGTAACTTCTCAAGAGTGCAGAGAGTGGATGTGCATTCCATTGTTATGGGTTGATGTTTTAGCTGATATGCATCCCTCAGTCCTCCCAATATCATTTTCAAAGGCCGTTTTCTGGGCACGATCACGTTTTTCTATGGTTGACCCTGAGAGCAGTGCAGAAATGCTGCTTCCAATTAGAACTTGGCTTTCAACTTACATTTCAGAACTTTCCTCTTCTTTTGAGTGGAAGGTTCCGACTGGTTCTGATGATGGTGGAAATGGGGACACATCAAAAAACTCAGTGGAAGTGTTGACAATGTCTTCTACTTTAATAAGAACATTCAGCAGGTTTCTAACAAAGCCTTGACTATGTTTTCCTCTAAAATCAAAAGTTTGAACAGCTTATAGTTTTATGTTTTGATGAGTTTAAAACAGATTTTCAATCTCTTGACTAATTTATCTGGATTTAAACCTCAGGTTGACTGCACATTTTTTAGTTCAGATGGTACAAGGAGAACTCCGAAGACAGTGGACTTGGGAACCACAAATGGGCGAAAGCTTAATTCTTTCGCTTTTGGATCCGAATGATGTAATGTCATTTCTATGTAGCATTTGTAGATTATGTAAATGAGCTTATGGTTAATGAGATATTTTTTGGTTATTTTAAGGAAAAACTCAACAAGATGGATTTGTTTTCTCTCTCTTCTGCCTTGTCTGTGGAACATGGTCTATATAATGGATAATTTATTTCTCTATTGCAGAGTGTTAGACAGTTTGGCAAGTGTATTTTGGAACAAGTCTCTGACACCCGTGGTCTTTCATGTGGATTAAGGTTTCTTTGTTCTTGCAAGGTGTCGTTGTCTGCCACTTTTTTGGGCCTGAAACATGCTATGAAACTGGTAATCTTACATGTCAGCAAATGCTTCATTGATAATTATATGTGGAAGTGCCAACTGTCCTCTCTTCTCTCTTTCTTATCCCTCTTAGTTAATGCTAGGTTCTTCTAGAGTTCAAGTTCAAATAATTTAGCTGAATCTTAAATTTTAGAGACACAATTTGCATTAAAGTGGAATAATCAATTATTGTTAGTTGACCTTTTCTAGTGGTCATTTGTCTCTTTCCCTACATTTTTGGTAATTATTTTCTTTGCATGCCAGATGCAATTGGATTCCGTTCTGTTGAAGTTTCAAGCACTGCATCATTTTTGGTTTCTTTTATTCAAATTACTGAAAGAAGGGGATCTAACAGCGTCAGAATTGCCAGAAAAAGCAGAGAGTGTCTTAAAAGTGCCGACATTTTCTTCCCAAGGCGGGTTTTTGAAACAGCCAGATTTTGATTCTCTGCCTGTGGATATTGATAAACGCGTTTCAGATGTTGACTTAGAAACTAAAGAAAAATTCAGTTACTTGTTATCTGAAATGGCCTGGCCTATTATCTGTAGATATCTGGGTAAAGGAAAAGAATTTATTGATTACAATCTTTGTCAGGTATGTTCTTGATCTCTCTCTGTTGTTGATTTTTTTTTTTAAAAAATTTTAAAATTTACTGTGTTTTGCCTTTCATATTTTATAAGGGTAATCTAAGGTCTAATTAAGATCTTTTTTTTCAAAAAAAAAAAAAAAAAACAATTCGTTTCTAAAATTTGGACCAAAACGTGAACGTCAAGTTGTCAACTTCTAGTTAACATCACTGCAAGCCGTTTACCTGCTTCAAAAATTTTCATGACCATTATACGTTGGGTATGAAAATGCACATATATGAAGCACTAGAGGATCGTGTGGCTTTTTACAATTGATTTTAATTGAGGTTAATATTTTTATTTTTCATTTTTTTTGGACAATATAATATTTAATGTTTTTATTTTAGTTGAAAGTTAGGGGTGGTGTTATCTTAGAAATAAATTTCATGACTAAATTTGTTGTTGGGCCTCAGTTCAGGGAGGTAAAATGTAGTCCGCCTATTTTTATCCTAGTGCACATGCTGGGTTATGCTTTTACTATTATCAGATTTTATGCAGTTTTTACCTTGGTTCCTTTTCTATCATCAAACCCATTGGTACTCCAGATACGTACCAGCAGATATGTATGAATGAGCATTGATTTTTGTGAATGATTTTCAAAACGTGCTTCAATTTCCAGACAGATTGTGCTGGGTTTCATTGTTCCCTCCTGTTTCAGATGACTTGTGTTCGGATACTTGAGATTTTACCTGTTCTTTTTCAAAGACTCCAATCATTTTGTGGCAAAAAGCTTGGGACTATGACTATGCTGGGTCAAAATAAGTTGGATTTCAGATGGCTTTCTGATCTCATGGAGTGGGGAAAGTCATCACTAAAGGTTGTAATTGTTTACTGGAAGCGAACAGTTACTTGTTTATTGAATATATTGAAAGGGTCTTGTGCTAATTCTGACCTTCTGCAATCGTTGCCCTAGAAAATCTTATTTCAAGTGGTGAGTTCTTTTTTTTTTTTTTTATTTTTTTTTTTTTGTTAACATATAAATATGTAAGAGCATGTGTGATTTTCCCCCTCTTTTGATCTGTTAATACTATTTTATTGATATGCTTGGTTATGTTTTTCAATGTAATACAGATGGTTGTCAATTGCAAGAACTGATGGAACATGTGTCCCGCCTATCTGTTTCTCTGTCTTCCGAAGGTGTTGATAATTTTCTTGATGCTAGTGAGAAGCCCAGATCTTCAGTATCTGAAAATACTTTGAAGAGCAAATGTTTCACTTCAGATAGGCACTCTTCCTTGTTGGAGGATACAGGTGTGCAAATTGGGGACCCACAAATGCTGACCAGCAAAAAGAACAGAGAAAATGTCATTGTACTTTCTGATGACGAAGGGGAACCAAAATCTCTTAGCAATAAGAACATTCTGTCAGATGGCAAGACCGGCCACAGCAAGTCTCTGTCCTCAGATGCCGGTAAAAACATAACAGTTGCTGACCCTGCAAAACATAATGTTTCTTCTGTAAAAACTTCCAGGGACCGGGGAGAGTCTGTCCAGGGAAAGGTTCCTAGCACCGTCTCTAGTATTTCTTCTCAGAAATTGGACTCTGATAATTTACAAGATAAACCTGTGGTCACTTCCTTTGTTAATTCAAAAGTTGTAGATCACGGTGGCAAGGAAGCAAACTTAAAGTCCAATGATCTCAATCTGACAACACTATCTGAAGAACCTTCAAATGCTGTGAAACCAAATAAAGCTTGTGACAATATGACTTTGTATAGTGGTACTATGTCAACTAATCCAATTTTAAGTGATTTAGTTCGTGATAATGGGGATGATCCTTTGGAAACTGCACTGAAGTCTGTGGGACGTACCCAGTTGTATATAGCAAAGCCTACTTCAGTTTCCAGAAGACAAGTTATTCAGCTCAAAACTCCTTTTGAAAACAGATCTGGCCGTCTGCATAGATTGGAGGATAATATAAAAAGGTTCAAGCCACCAACATTAAATGATTGGTATAAGCCTATTCTTGAAATAGATTATTTTGCTATAGTCGGATTGGCTTCTGCAAGAAAAGATGAAAGCCAGGCTATAAGCAAACTAAAGGAAGTTCCTTTGGTTTTTCAATCACCTGAACAATACGTGGAGATATTTAGACCTTTAGTTTTGGAGGAGTTTAAAGCACAGCTGCACAATTCTTTTGTGGAGATGTCATCATGGGAGGGGATGATATCTGGAAAACTTTCTGTGATGTCAGTGGAGAGAGTTGATGACTTCCATCTTGTGCGTTTCATACATGATAACAGTGACTCTGCTGAATCAAAGAGCTTTTCAGAAAATGACCTTGTTTTACTGACAAAGGATCCTCCACAAAAATCTTCACATGATGTTCACATGGTTGGAAAGGTATCCTTAGATTTATATTCATTGGTATTATCCCAACAGGAAGTTGAGAGGCCTATAAATTTTTGTGACTTTTTTTTTTTTTTTGGGGGGGGGGGGGGGGTTGGTTACCCATACATGTTTCTATTATGACATATCTTTTGATGTTCGTAATCTTTCCACACATGAAAATTTGTTCTTTTCAATTAGCAATGAGTCTTGTTTATTTTGCCGATAAATTTCATTGCTAATTTTGTTTTGTAGCATGACTTGATGAAGATTGTGCCATATGATGACTTCACTTTGGGGCTGAACTTTAGATAACTTGCTCTTTCTCTGATCTCCACCTAATTGGCAGTCACTTCTTGTTTATGATGTGAATTAGGATGTTAATATACGTATGATGTTCATTATATGAAGAACTTATAATTCCTGCCAACATTTTTGCATAAAGCTTGAAGTTGAATCTAATACATTATTTTCATGATTTCCCCTTTTGAGGAGCCAAAATTTTGTTGGCTCGTCAACATTATAAAAGCCAATTTTTAGTGGCTGCTGCAATTTTGCTACCAATGCAGCTGGAGATTATGCAACAAAGCACACTGTTACTGATATGCCAATATCATGCTAAAAGGGTCGATTTGTATTTGCAGGTTGAAAGATGTGAGAGAGGTAACAAAAGAAGTTTAACTATTCTCCTTATCAGGTTCTATTTTCAGAATGGCTCTTCACGATTAAATCAAGCTCGAAGGGCTCTCACTGAACGGAGTAAATGGCATGCATGCCGGATTATGAGCATTATATCTCAAATTCGTGAATTTAATGCATTGTCATCTGTAAAGGGCATTCCCTTACTTCCACTTATTTTGAATCCTCTCAATGATTCATGTCATCATAATGAATTTAAGGAAGTGGATCTTAGTAAGTTGCCCCAACCTTTACAGAAAACTTTTAGGTCATCATTTAATGCCAGTCAACTCCAGGCTATAAGTGTTACTATTGGAACAGCTAAAGAAAAGAAAAAATTTGAATTGTCACTTATTCAGGGGCCCCCAGGTACTTGATCCACCCTGCACAAATGTATCTTGATTTCCCTGATAGCTTTAGAATTAATGGATTTTAACATCTATCTTGTTCATGTATGCAAATGTTGTATATAGGCACTGGGAAGACACGGATTATTGTTGCAATTGTCAGTGGCCTGCTTGCTTCTCCTTCAGAGAAGATGAGTTGCACCCAAAATCCGTCAAATGAAAACTTGAGTTCCAGTACGAGACCAAAAGTTAGCCAGAGTGTTGCAATTGCGAGGGCATGGCAAGATGCAGCCTTGGCCAGACAGTTGAGTGATGATGTTCAAACCGCATCAAAGTATGCAGGAAATTGTGTTAGACGAAGAGTGCTTATATGTGCTCAATCTAATGCTGCCGTGGATGAGTTGGTCTCACGAATTTCTAGCCAAGGTCTTTATGGCAGTAATGGGAAAATGTACAAGCCTTATCTTGTAAGGGTTGGAAACGTAAAAACAGTCCATCCAGATTCACTGCCATTTTTTATTGATACACTTGTTGATCAACGTGTGGCAGAAGAGAGGATGCATTCAAGGGATGGGAAGGATGATTTGAGAGTAGATTCTTCTGGGGCTTTGCGTTCCAGTTTAGAGAAATTAGTTGATTCTATTAGGTTTTATGAAGCAAAACGTGCAAGCTCAAGGGATGGAAATTCTAAGCAAAAGAATCTTCTGCATGATGACTCTTGCAAGGGAGATGAGAAGGAAATGTCTGACACAGAAATTGAGATGCAGCTACGGAAACTATATGAACAGAAAAAACAAATATACAAGGATCTTAATAATGTTCAGGCTGGGGAGAGGAAAGCCAATGAAGAAATCAAGGCACTTAGGAATAAGCTGCGAAAATCTATACTCAGGGAAGCTGAAATAGTGGTAACTACCTTAAGTGGCTGTGGTGGGGACCTCTACGGAGTTTGCTCTGAGACAATGTTAAGCTCCAAGTTTGGGGGTCCGTCTGAGAATACACTTTTTGATGCAGTTGTAGTTGATGAAGCTGCCCAAGTAATTATATCTCTGTTCTCAAAATTTTGAAGTAATTAATTTACCAGCAATCCTCTGATTTCCTGTTCCATCTTTTGATCTGTTATTCTTGTTCTTACAGGCATTGGAGCCTGCTACTTTGATACCTCTTCAGCTCTTAAAATCAAGTGGAACCAAATGTATTATGGTAAAAATTCTAACTTAAGTTTTGAAATTTCTGGTATGGGTTGAGAAGTGAAACTGACTTTTGTAATTTACTTAAGGTTGGTGACCCAAAGCAGCTTCCTGCAACAGTCCTCTCCAATGTCGCAAGTAAATTTCTTTATGAATGCAGCATGTTTGAACGTCTACAGAGGGCTGGCCATACTGTTATTATGCTTAATGAACAGGTACGTAAGGCGCAACATTACCAAGTTTTTGTTGCTGTTTTACTCTATAATCATGGAGATTGCTTTGGTAAGCATATGAAACTAGGTTGCACTGTGATATGTACTTTCTCCAATTCTAAATATAGGGCAAAGGTAACTATTTCACACTTCGTAATGAATGGTGGTTTATATCCTTAGTGTTGCAAAAAATGTTGATTTTTCCAGTTTTGCTCTTCAATGCAAAAAATCACCCGAATTAAATGCTGACTTAGAATAAAGAACAAGCCAATAACCAAGGTTCAAAAAACTAGACCGATCATTGAATTGGTCAAGCAAGTGGTTCAAGGGTTAGCAGGTCAGACCGAGGTTAACTTGGAGTCAGACTGGTAATACTTACGAATGGAGAGGTGTCTATCTCTTCACTTGTTAATTCAATTAACAGATTGATGAGGATTTTTGTTGATATTAGATTTGTACATGTTTACAGAGAGACGAATAGGTGTGCAGATTTTCTTGCTAATCATAGTCTAGGATTGACAGAGGTGATGAATGTTTTTGATCAACCACCTCCTGAGATTGAATTGATCTTGTACAATGATTTTAAAGGGACCTTGTTCCCTAGAATAATAAAGGAGTAGTGATGGGCGTGTTGCCCCGTATTTTACCCAAAAAAAAAAAGTGTAAAAATATTCAAATTTTAATTATAAAAAATAATATTTCCAGTGAGAAAATGTTTATGTATATGTATATGAATTTTTTTCCCTTTCTATCTTTTCTGTTTTTTCCCCTTAATTCTCTCTCCTTCTCTCTTCCTTTTTATTCTCCCTTCACATTGATTCTAAATTCTTCCAACTTTTCTCTTTTCAACATGAAAGACAAGACAACTGATGGATTTCCTCCTCTTTTTCCTGATGTGCAGCAGCACATTTCTTTCGTCTTCACTTCAACATTCAAATCTTTTGGGTTTTTTTTCATCATTTCTTTTACTTTCTTTCTTTCTACTCGGAACTCTCTTCCTCCACGCGTCCTCTTTCTCTTCCCTTTTTTTCTTATGGAAGATTCAGTGAGGCCTAGCACGGGCTTGTTAGAGGAAAACAATGGTGACAAAGTGAGCTTACTAGAGGAGAACGATGGTGACAAAGTGAGCTTACTAAAGGAGAACGATGGTGACAGAGTCAGGATTGAAGTGAAGATTGGAGCTTAGCAAGGTTGCTAATGTCTAGTTCAATGTGAGAGCACTTTGGCACAAGCAAGAAGAGAAGAGTTGAATCTTGATTCGTGAAGCAAAATGACAGGCTGGCTCAGAATTAATTAGGGGTGGGTTGGCCCGGGTTCCACCCCAACCTGATGTTTGGTTTAAAATAACACCGGGTTTAAAAAGCTAGTCCATGGTCTAGTCTGACCCAAAAACTCGGTCCTTATCTAGACCAGACCGGGTTTAAAAATATAACAAAGCAAAAATTTTAAAAAGTTCAATAGCCTAGCCCAAACTGAAAATCTATTTGTGCCACATCATTAACACACACCCTCATCTTTCATTGTGGCTAGATGAATACGGAAAATGGTGAACCCATATCCTCTCTCTTCTTCATCCTTGCAGCTAGATCTAGGAAGCAAGGTTTGATTTTTCCGAAGGTGCAACTACATCTCCTCTCTTCTTCCATTACGCTGAGATTTATTTGAGATCTAAGATGAAGTCGAAGAAAAAGCCAAGATCTAAGAAACCCAAGCCAATATACTTAGCGTCATAGACTAAGAAGATAGGAGAGGAAGGGTGGAAACTGTAGAATGGCGATTGAGGAGGGTTGAACTTGAAGGGGCTGCTTAGGGGTTTTGAAGATATGAATGGTCAAATGGGCAACGTCACGACATGACATTGAAGAAGAAGACGACCTGAAGAGGATGTGACCAGGAAAGGAAAAAAAAAAAAACAAGAAGAGCTGAGCAGAAGGTCTAGGAGGCGGAGACCTGATAAGGAAGAGTTGAACAAATAGGGTGTTTTTACTGGTAGGGGAATTGAATTTTCTTAATAAAAATTAAATCTATACACTGAGTCAGACTAGATTATTTGGTCTGAAGGGTCAGTTTGGAACCTGGTATGACCCGATAATCAACCTGGTTTGGTATAATTCATTTTTTCTTCGGGTTATTTTTTCCCAGGCTGGACTATACCAGGTTCCTTCAGGTTGGATGGGGTTTACCTGGACTGGGTATTTTTTGAACAGCCCTAGAATTAATCATGATTTTCTTTTTGTCATTTTTTTTAAAAACAAGCAATTCTTTCGTCCTCAGGGATCAAAATTTCTCACAGTCTGATAAACCCGGTAACCCACCCAACCTAGCGGGTTATTTGGGTTTGGACTGATTCACACTGGTTCAGTTTTCCTCCAGTTCAGGTGAAGAACCAAACCGGACTAGTTACTGATTCACGGGTTCCAGGTTTGAATTGGCCAGTTTGGTTCTGTATTTTTTGAACCTCGCCAATAAGACAATGCAATTAAAATTGAGTTCAAACCAGCAATAAATGGGGGAGGAGCATTGGAAAAAAATGTAAACACTACACTGTTCCTGATATCTTAGACCAAGTAGGGCTTGTAGAAGTTTCCCTATATTTAGGACTGAATGCATAATATATTAGTGTGTGATAACAGGAGGATAATGAATATTTTTAATCTTGTTTTTTTATGTGGTTAAAATATAATCCTTTTCCGATCAATAAACCAAATGTCTTCTTGACTAAGACTGAATTCTGTCAACATTATGACTTTTAAGGTTTGAAATTTTGGTTAACCATTCTTTGATAACACATCAAAGAGCCATACCAACTAAAAACTTGAAGTAAATGCCTCAGAATCATGAATGTTTTTATAGCTCTTACCGGCATATATATGATCTTACCTGTTTCTACTACTTTTGGCTTGGGCAAGAGTTTTTACCCCTCCTCCACCCCGTATCTTTCTATCCTGAGACTGAAAATTGAAATCCTTCATTTGTGATTTTATTTTACAATAACAGTATAGAATGCACCCGGAGATATGCAAGTTTCCTTCACTGCACTTCTACGAGAGCAAGTTGCTAAATGGCTGTGACATGCCTAGTAAGTCAGCATCGTTTCATCAGACCAGGCGTCTTGGACCTTATGTATTTTATGATATCATCGACGGTCAGGAGCTTCATGGAAAAAATTCCGGTGTGCTATCTCTTTACAACCAGCATGAGGCTGATGCAGCTGTTGAATTGTTGAGGTTTTTCAGGAAAAGGTACCAAATAGACAATTTTAACCTCTTTTTTGTTTGTTTAAATTTTGGTGATTATTTACAAGACCCTTGAATGCCTTTTGAAGGTACCCAGCTGAATTTATTGGTAGAAGAATGGGTGTTATTACGCCATACAAGTACCAACTTTCACTCCTCCGATCTCGATTTTCTAATGTGTTTGGATCTTCGAACATTGCCAACATTGAATTTAACACTGTGGATGGTTTTCAAGGTCGAGAAGTGGATATACTGTTACTCTCTACTGTAAGAGCAGCACGTTCAAACTCAGCTGGATCTGGGATCAAATCAAGCTCTATCGGATTTGTTGCTGATGTAAGACGGATGAATGTTGCCTTAACAAGGGCCAAAGTATCACTTTGGATATTGGGGAATGCAAGGACATTGCAGACAAACTCTAACTGGGCTGCTCTTGTGAAGGATGCTAAAGAAAGAAACTTGATAATATCAGCTAAAATGCCATATCATAAACTGTTTAAGACAGCTTTCAACAATGATAGTGCAGAAAATTCTGCTAACCCTGCAGTTCTGCGGAAACACGAGAGGGTTAAAAGTGCTAACCAAAGTATCGCCAAAAATTTGGTCAATGAGAAGGATGCCTCTGTGGGGAAGAAGAAAGGTATTGCTACTCAAGTAGGGAATATAAGTAATGGATCTGAGACTGGCTCCTTAGGTTCTGGAAAAGATGCTCAAGGTAAGAAAAAAGATAAGAAAGGTGAACCTGTTTCCATCGTGAAGGACACTTCACGTCTAGTTGCAAATTATGGCTGCAAAACTACTTGTGATGGTACGCCTCCATTAGATGAGTCAGTTGGTGACAGTGGAAGGAAAGGCAAAGACAAAATAATGCATGACGCGGGAAAGGCCACTTTGGGAAAGAGGCATTATGGTAAAAGAGAGACAACTGCTGGTGGACATAAAATATCACCACTTGCACCATCAGTAAGACGAAGTGTATCATCTGGAGGGGACAAAAACAGTTCCCCTGAAGAAGTTTCTGCTCCGTCGAAGGAAGATTGTACTAAAAAGAGAGACACAGAAGATGAAGGCAGAGCTCCCATTCAAAATAGAGTTTCTGATATTTCAAAAAGGAAACAACAGCGTGAAGCTGTCAATGCCATTCTTTGCACATCTTTGATAACTTCTAAGAAGGCCGAGACTTCAAAGACCTCTGCCAAAAGGCATATCCCTTCGACTGCTCCTCAGGGGAGTGCGAAACCAAGCAAGAGAAGAACTGGTAAAATTTATTAGCTTTGCTATCTAGTTGATGGGTTGATAACTTTCTTCATGTGTCGCCACTCGAACATGTATGATTTTTCTTTACTTTAATCACAAGTTTGAGGCATGTTGGGTATCTATTTTCTTTTCTATATCCTCCTGCTTTTTCCCCGAGTTTCCGTTTAATGCCCTCCCAATAAGATGCTGTTTTGGTATAAGATGCATGATTTGTTGTTCTTCCTGATCACATTTATACTCATGAATTTAAGTTTATATTTCAGTGAAATCAGATCCATCAGCACCGGAGTAAGGGGGAAAAATTCCCTCCCTGGAGTGAAGATGATGTCCTTCTGGAATTCCCTTTCCATCACCGTTTTGACTTGCTGCACGCTGCAATGAAACTTTTTTGCTGCTGCTCATGACTGATGCTTGCTCATCAATGAACAGATTGGGTGGTGGGAGATAACCATCAATGTGATAGCTGAAACTGACAAATATATGCGTGAAGGATGGTTATCGGCGGCATATGTATGTACATATATCAAATTTTGTTTATAGCCGGAAAAGGAAAAGGCTCCATTAGATCCTCGCACTTTTTGGGTGAGGATTCTGATAAATTCGAATAGATTAGTTACAAAAGTTTACTCATTGCTTCAGTGGGTCAGTACCTGGAGTTTGATGAGTAAGTATCAATGTCAATTTCGTATCACTACTAATATAAATTTTAAAATTTACATTAAGTCATTTTGTTCACATTAAAAATAGTACTTATTTGGTCCTTCATATAAGACGTAATTAAGTAATTTGAGTAGATTAATGATGTTAGTTAAATTAGTTAATATGATTTTTTTTTCTAATACACTCTAAGTATTTTTCTTAATTCCTTCCCTCTTTCTCATACTTAATTGTTATAAGGAATATTAATAGGGTTAATTTGGAAAGAAAAAGTGATAAACTTGTGAAATAAATTTTATATATAGGACCAATTTCTAATTAGATCTTACATTAACGGGTGGAGGAGTATCATTTTTTCAAACTTTATGCAACACAATATATATTATCATTTAGAGTTATATTCCGAAATTTATGAATTCAAACTTATATATTGGGAGGAAAAGAAGATTCCTGTACAATTTATTCATCTTACAAATAAACTTTGTAGTTGATAGTTAAGTAGGTGCTGAAAAGTATATTACTACCTAGATCTTATCAATTTGTGATGAAATTAGAATAAAGTTACATGTACAAAAAAAAAAAAAGGGTTACAATTTTGTCAAGTCCCATTGATTCTAAGAAGGAATGAGAAAAGCTAACAAAGAAGAAGTATATTCCCACGACTAGTATATTAGAAACTAATCTTCACTAACACATCCGCGTCAGACCATGCTCTGGCAAAAGAAGGGTGAAAATGTATTTTCACTATAAAACCATTTTTGAAAAAGCCATGAATATCTTGAAAGAAAACTACTACCTCTAATTATTAATCTACTCAACTTAATCAACACTTATTTATTACATATTTTTTCAAAACAGATGCAATGTTGGCATTTCTTAACTGTCAATATTAAGTCAGCCAATAATTTCAGTGGGTTGTTTTTGCCTAACGTTGACTGCGACAGAGGAGGCCACACTATAACATTTTAAAAAGATTATGTGCTATATTGCTTCACAATTTTTTTGAAGTGCTCAGATTTCCTGAAGATACTTTTGAAATAAAAATGCACTCCAATATTGAGCTAGATAGTAAAGAATACAGCTCCACAATATTACTTTTTAAAAAAATTAAAAGAACAGGCACTAACAACCTGAGATTACAAGCATGATCAAACTCGTGACCTCCTACTTTTAAGAGAGTTTTCATGTTACTAAAAGTTACAAGGTCATTGTCCCATAATATCCATTTTACATTAAGTTAAACTATGGATAATTCTATTTTCATTTGAATGGATATAGTTTTGTTATTTGACATTTAAACACTTATCCCCCTTCTGTATAGTTTGTGTTTGCCCAACTCACTTTTCCCTCTCTTACTCTTCATCTTCGCAACAACCATAAACTGCTCCTTTGTACTGCTCATTATATTCTTCATAATAATGCAGTAATAATATACATAAAACAAAGCATGGATGCTTCAGTTATCTGTACGCAGCAGCAACCGAATATATTACATGTCAAGTTGATCACCACAGCACAGTGAGTATCACGTGACCTGCACATGATACTCATTAATGTTTGCACATGTGATTATCTTTCCCAGGCAAATAATACATGCATGGCATTTGATATTTGATACTTTGGAAATGTGAACACAATAATTAAAATGCAGAGAGATTATAATTAATACTTACATGATTAATTATATATATTAATATTTTATATTTCGACAGGTATTTGCTTGTATATTTTTATTTTATACACTGTTGCTCTCCTACCAACCAAATTTCCTATTTCTGAAAGTCAATCTCTCTCAATACACATGTGGGACCGTCACGTAATAATGGCTCATAATGATTAAGCTTGCTTATTTCTAAATGCCAAACATAAATAATTTGTGGGGATTGATATAAGAGGGAGGGGGTCCATAAAGATTTGCTTCCATTCAAGAGTAACAAAGGAAGAATGTGAAGGCAGAGTGTATGCATAATAGATAAATTAATGTTCCCTCATCTGAAACGTGGAAGATAGATCATTAATTTACAAAAATTAAAAAAATAGTTAATTTAGTTATTTGTAATAAATATATACTGGTTTTTTAAAAAAAAATACTTAATTATTTGTATTGGAAATTATATCCTCAGTATCTGTAATCAAATTATGATGCTAAAACCTTAAATATAATTATTTAAAATAATAAAATTTTAAATAATCCTAGAATTAAAGATAGGGATAAATAAATTGTACTAAATTAATCTAAATAAAAGAATCCCGCTCATCTTTGCCTTTTGATTATTTGTTCCACATTGAGTTTGACTTTCAATATGAAGTACATTATCCTTCCTTTCTAATTACAACTATAGATCATGTGCGCTTCTTGTGTGATGGGACCATCCAGATGAGTTTTGTTTATAATAGATTTTCTTATTTTGTTAATTAGATTCGATCTCTCTCACTTTATATTCAAGAATAAAATTGTTTTTATGCATTGATTAATAACATCAAGTTAAAGTACAATATGCGATAGGATCAAATGTGAGAGTCAAATGACTATAGACTAAAAAACAAATAGAAATTGTCGGTTCTATTTAAAAATATAAGTTGCATCATTTATAACTAGTCATAATATAACTTATTATAACTTTTATATTTTAATGAAATGAGCAACATGATTTTTTTAAAAGAAATATATGGGCGTCAAAATGATTAATGTGAATACATATATCATATATCAAAGGCTACATCATTCTTGAAGTATAAATAACTCAACTTATTTTTTTTACGAAGCACATGGGTATTTTTTTAATTGGAGGCTTGTTAGATACTTAATATGAGTACTTCTAATAGAAATTCGATTCAAACCTTGATTTGTCGTATTAAGAGGGATTACTTCCTTTAACTGGACTCAACTCCCAATTTATTTTAAAGTTCATATATATATATATTCTAAAATCTAGTATTGGTAACCCTGTTAGATTGCTTGAGTGGCATATAAACAATTTGCAATAACAAATGAATAAGTAAGGAGCAAGTTAGAAGGGAGTGCTGCAAAAGCTAAGTTTCGTTCATTTACCTTGGGAATTTGTGAAGTATTAGAAAATAAACCCCTCATGATGATCTGACTTAAGATAGAATCCAATAACATTAGAATAGTCAAATAGAGTACTTGCCTAATAATTGAATTAATTAATCACTGGTTAACTAAATAAATAGTAGTTTCTTCTTAGAAATAATTATTGGACTAGTTCTCCCCTTTAGCTTATTCAAGCATAGGAATCTGAGACCGTATACCTTCTTATTTTTGACTAAGGTAAACTTGAATTTTATATAAGCCGTGCCTAGTTTTATGTCAGATAAGTAAGTTGCCACAAAATATAAAATAAAAAAGAGGTTTTTTCTGTAAATAAAATGATAAAATAAAATTTATTTACTATCAATATAAAAATAAATTATTATGCATATAATTGTCTTTTCGCTTCTATTTATATTTATGTGACAAAATTAATCCAGATACATATTAAGCAAAGGCCACATCATCAGCCATTAACATCATTTCTCTTGTAAGTTAATAAATTATGAGTATGGGGATCAATATAAGAAAGGGTTAATACCATTGTGGGCTCTTATAGTTTGATTATATTTTGGTTTTGATCCCTGTATTTTCAAACTACCGTTTTTAGTCCCTATAGTTTGATAAGGGCATGGTCTTAACATGGTAAAGTATAACAACCAAAATCACAACTCATTAAAAGCATAAGGCAAAATAAAAACTTTTTGGTCCCGTACTTCTAAAAAATTTGATTTTGATCCCTGTACATTTTACGAGATTTGGTTTTGGTTATTATAATTAACAGTGTTATGTTAGACTCAGATCAAATTCTCATGAAATTATAGGAACTAAAAACCATGATTTGAAATTATAAAAACCAAAACCAAAATTTGAACAAACTGTAAGGACTATTAATGGTATTAATCCTTAAGCTATAAAAAGCTAATAAGAAGAAGAAAAATATTTATAAGAACTTAATTAAAAATAAGATAAAATCATGGAAACTTGCATACTAATTTTTTCTTGAAACAATGCACTTTCTCAAGTCTGAACAGATATATATGGATCAACAATGAACCACCTTCAGCCAAAAAAGAAGGCTTCAAATATCAATGTTGTGTATGTGAAGGAGGATAGATATATAGCAAGGTGAAGACAACATGGTGGCTCACTAACTAATATTTTATGCCAAGTGAATGGGCAGTCCACATGGGAATCAGATGATAGGAGAGCCAATCTTGCGTGATCTTGAAAGCACTTTGGGGAGTATCCAATAAACAAACCAAACATTAATAATTCAATGATTAGGGACAAAGCTAAGAGCGACGTGCAGATGCTATAAATCCATATAGCTGTTGACTGTGGATCTGTGTTACTGAATGTGGCTTATTACGTACAATAAAGGCAAGCAAGTACACAAGACTTTTTCCTTAGCAGTAATAAATTTGTTTGAACTCCAAATTCTATCACAGATGCTATAAATATGGCTTATTACGTACAATGTGATTTTATCTATATATAGAGATATATATATTTGGAATTAGATTATCTGTCAGAAGCCTTCTAACTTAGTCACATTGACGCATCCATCAAATTAAAAGATCACAGATTCAATCCCACTTATAATCTCATATTGTTGGTACCTGCTCTGTATTGGTATTTCAATTTGAAATCTTTGGTTAAACTGAGTTGATTAGGCAAGAACCAGCTGACTTGCAATGTGATTATATTATTACAGTATATACTTTTTATAACAGATGATGTATTTATATATACATACATTTATGGTTTTTTTTTGGGGGCTGAAAAGTCAATTTTATCAATATAAAAAATTTCACACATTTAGAGTTGGTTGGGGATTAAGCAAGTGTTTTAATATTTCATTATAGGCTTTTGCAGTAACCTTCCACATGACATAAGTTGCGATCCGAATTTAGTGCACACTTAATACACGTACATTTATTTGTGTGTTTTGTGTGGATTGGTGTGGGGCATCTAAGTAATTTAAATAAGACTTACATATTATTTTTTATATTTTTATTTTGAATTTAAACAATTATTTTTAAAAGTTATTATTGAAAATATGACATTATTTTTTTATTTTTTTTTCGTTTAACATATAAGTAAAAATAAAATTAAATTACAAAATAATATATTATATATTTTCAAAACCTAATTTGAATTGCCCAGAAAATTGTGCACGTAATTATAATATACATCTCAAATATGTCCACAGATCTCAATTCTCGATAGTTGAAACTGACTGATGATTGATCAGTCCATAAATAATAACAATGATAATAATATATAGGGAAGTTTTTCACCAAAATATATATATATATATATAGGGAAGTCAGCAATAAAAGCGCGCTAATCAAGCGAAGCACCTTCCTATAAATAATCGTCCCCAACCACAGCATCACCAAGTTGAGAAACCAACAAGAGAAGTTTTCTTGATGGATTCCAAAAAGTCTAACAAGATCACAGATATCGTTAGGCTTCAACAAATCCTCAAGAAATGGAAGAAGGTGGCCAATGCTTCCAAGAACAACTCCACTTCTGTTGCTATTTCTCCGTCTTCTTCGTCTTCTTCTTCTGCAACCAATAACATTAGCAGTAGTAGTAACGGTGGAAGCAAAGGCATAAAGTTCTTGAAGAGAACTCTGTCCTTCACAGATATTTCTGCTTCAAATGAAACTGTCCCAAAAGGGTTTCTTGCTGTTTCTGTGGGAAAAGAGTTCAAGAGATTCATCATCCCAACAGAGTATTTGAGACACCAAGCTTTTGAGATGTTGCTGAGAGAGGCAGAAGAGGAGTTTGGTTTCCAACAAGAGGGAGTGCTCAAGATTCCTTGCCAAGTATCAACGTTTGAGAAAGTATTGAAGGTTGTGCAAGGGAAAAAAGAAGCACTTTTGCCCCAAGATAAGGACAAGATGATTCCTTGTTATATTTCGGATTGTGATGCTACCACATCCCCTCATCAAGCTCAAATGTGTAGATGAAACGTGTCTTTTTTTTTTTTTTGGTGGCTTCGAGGTCTCTTGTAATCCTTCGATAATTTCTTTTTGGTTTGTGATAGGTTGTGCATTAGAAAAGGAAAGCTTCGATTTTGGATGTAGAATAAAGCTTAGTTACCTTCTCTTTTGCTTCAAATAGCAGCAATTGCAATTATATTCATTAGCTGTTGTTGCAATGCCTTGCGTAGGCATGATTGTGCTACCCATGATTCCAAACATCGGGATCCCTCCCATGATTGATGATTCATTTAAAATGTATTCCAAATCCAATCTTGCTTCAGTATCATGCTATGAACTAATTAAATATCCTGAGATTTTAATAATTGTGGGATTTCAACCAACAAAACAATTGTGGGATCCATCCAGAGAATAATTACATGCATGCATACATACATACATACATACATATAGACACACACACACACACAGCGGCACGGTGTTTACAGCCTAGAAGTGGAAAATAGAAAGCCCCGTGTTACCTCAGATAAAGCCTTAATTCTAGAGGCTGTAAAACTTCATCAATATGCAGGCAGTTCAAGCAAGTCATTGGATTACCGTCTTGAGTAACGATCTACAAGTGGTTTGGCGTTTTCTGGTGCAAAGAACCGAGCCTGCACAAAACCCGATACTTGGAATGAGCAATATGTCCATTTGGCTGGCCAAAATGTGAAGTTTTAAGAAGGTAAGAAAATTAACAACAACAACGACCGGATAACTAAATAACAACATCCCCTAAACATCCAAAGCATTAGCATAGAGTCACACTGGCATACATTCTTGTGATAAGGTTGTGCAGCAAATTATTCATCCATAATAAAAAGTAGAGGTTGGGTTGTGTGTATTCAACATTCTTTCACATCTTTTACTCGGATGCACAAGAGTGAATTCATATGCTTACTTGAATAAACATTCTCTCAGCATCTCCCAAGCTGTTGTTCTCTTTCAGGATAATTCCCTGCAGAGCCACAAGGTGATTAGACTTGAGTATGTGTCTTCTTTCACAGAACATCTTGAAGTTCAAAAAGCATGAGTGACAATGGGAAAGAAAGCATCAGTTAACAAAAATGAACAGTGCAGAAGGACACATTGATGTGTGAGTATTATGATGTGCAATGGCTTTTACGCCTGTGATTAGTAAGTATGCAGAGACTGAAGAAAATGCCTTGTCCTTTCTTTTAGGTGGCCAAAAATATCTTGCTAACTTATATACGTGGTACTGAGGTAGAGGCTCCTAGGAGGTAATACTAATAATGACAAAGCACTAGAGTTGGGAGAGATAATATTCTGAACAGTTATTTTACTTGAATGATAGGAAGCTAGATTGAAAGATACCATGGCAACATGCTTGCCACTATAATCCGGTTACCAGTTAGTCCATAAGAGGGAAAAAATAAAAATGAAAATGAAAATTCATGCCATAATTACCGGCAATATACACTCTTCATAGTCATACCATATATTTCCTTTTGGGTATAACTTAGAGTGTCCTCAAGTCACTCTGGGCTTGAGACTAATTTTTATCAGGCCAAGAGCGTTAAAATTAAAGTCTTCCCAATAAGTGTGCTTCACGACATTCGAACTTGTGTTCTTCATACCATATTTAATTGACTTTGTGTCAAATGAAAAGGGAAAAAATTATGACATGGCCGGTACATATAAAGGAGAGAAATGAAAACCTTAGCTAAGTATCCACGGAAATCATCAGGGTGAGTAGATATAAGCTGATCATAAACTGCTACAGCATCACTGACATGACCCCAATCTGAGTAGGCTTTCCCAAGAAGTAATTCAATCTGCACTTTGCAGTGACAATGTGACATTGACGAATAAGAGTAAAGATGGAGATAACTTTCCCAAATTCATACTTCAAAATAAATTACAGAATGAAGGAATAAGCACGCAGAATAATTCATCAAAGAAAATCATATAGGTTGGCACGAAAAAGGAAAAAAAAAAAAAAGAAATCAAGGAAAATCGTATAGGAGCTAAAGGTTCAAAAGATAAAAATAAAGCTATTATTTGTAGGAATACATCTTACTTGAACTGGATCCAACTTCTCTGATTCCGTAGGGCTACTGTCAACTCCATTGTTTGTTTTTTTGGAATTCAGTTGCTCACGACAGGCCAGCAGGAACTGAACAGCCTGTACAAGAATGAATATGGAAATGAAATCTTCCACAAATCAGCATCCTCTAAAATTGAGCAGTTCCATAAAGAACACCCAAATCCTCATCTAGCATAGTCTTGTAAACCAATCTTCATCTTGAAGGAGACTTATGCGTACAATAAATCCCAGCTAGCTAAAGGGAGGGTTCTTGTTTATAAGGAATAAAAACTATATTCAAATGTAACCACCGATCAAAATAATAAGGAAAATGGAACATAAAACTATGCTGACAGCAAACATAACATAATAGAACTTCCACCTTGTGACCGTTCAAATGTAAATTTGGCACAAGAGCAGGGTAAAATTTTTAAAGCTTTCGCCATAAGGTTTTCCAATGAAAGCATACATTGCAGGCATTACTTACAACTTAAGTCTTACCCATTCTATTGACTCTTCAAAGATATTTTCCAACACTATGTTTCTATTGGAAAACCTTAAAGCAAGCACAATAATCGCAACCAAGTTTCTCCACCTAAAATTAAAAAATTTCCCGTATTTGAAAATCACTGTCATCTAGAAGAAAAAAGTTACCATCCTATACTCCCACCTTAACAAAATGGGCACTTATTTGAAGATAAAGGACAGACATAAATGTAAAGTAAATCCTATCCAATACCAAGTACATGAGGTTTTACTAATCAGTGTGCTCCAAAGAGAATTTAATTGGTGGTGTACATGTCCTTGAAGTGTAAATAGATATAAGGGAGGGAAATCAACAAGTATGTCATTCAATCCCACGAAATCAGCTATCAGTAACCATTAGAAGCGGAAGAGTCTTAGTTGTTAACTAAATAAAAAGAATTGCTAAGTGCCTTGTATTGAGCACACAAAAGAGAACATTTAAGATCTCATATGCACAAGCACGCATGCGCCAACACATGGAGAACATTTATAATGCAAGATACTAGAGATACAAACAATATATTATAATCCTATTGTAGAGAAAAATGTCTAAATTGTTTGATAGTATTCATCTCAGTAAGGCAATTTCCATAAAAATCAGAGCATCAATAACGGCTCTTTAATACCCCACTTCCTATGATTATACTATCATTATGTGGTGTCCAGATCTCGAGCATAATCAGAGTACAGAGCTATTGCGCAGTAAGTATGCAGGCTTGTCTGGATATATAAATTATTAAATGAGGTTGGCTGCAAGTCTTCTTTACTAGCAAAGCTATGGCGTCATAGCCAAACTATCCCACACAACTTCTGTCTTTTATGAATGCACTAAGCACATTGAGATTGATTGTCATTTTGTTCATGAGAAGATGAGGGAGAACTTTATCTCTAGAGAACATGTAAAAAGCTCTTAATGGGCATGATCAACACCCATACTCCAACTTGAGGAGGGTGTTAGAATAGAGGATATTCTTTCATTCATTTCAGTAGATATTGCAGTCCTTTCTGCATGATTATAATGATAGCATCATCATAGGGATTAGGGTATTAATGATTCATTATGATTGAGGCTTCCATTATATGTAAATTGCCTTACTGAGAATGACACAATCAAGCGAAGTACTCACATCTCTCTGCATTATATCAGAGCAAATTTAAGGGTCCACTCTGTCCTCTGAGATTACAGTGAGTGTAGGAGTGAGGGTTTTTTTTTTTTTTTGGGTAATTTCCACCGTGGTTTTTTGGTGTCACTGCCCCCCATGCAACTCAACACCTAAAAATATTTAAGCCAAAAAATCCTAACAAATAAAGTAAAACAAAATTTAAACAAATAAAACATTAAATTCTAATCCTCCTCCTTTATTTTTAATTAAAATGCTTAAGAGTCTTATTTAAAATCTTATATGTATGTTCCTACATTTTGACCAACTACTATTATCTTCCCAGATCTATTTTCATCCTCCATTATTAAGATGCATAAAAAATAAACAGCATCGTAACGAGATCATGTGATCTTCAAATATCCTAATAATCAATCTTTAAGATGACAAACCTCATCTGGCTTTTTTGCAGCAAGCAATGAATTAGTAAGGCCTCGCAGAACTTCAAAATTAACATCTTTACCTACCTGTCATGGAATAGCAAAATGTTAGCAGATGATATCAGCTGTCATTACTAAGGTCATCTACTAACAAGTGATAGATACTTTTTTCCTAAACTTTAAATCCCAGTTTAAGCAGCATGGAATGTATTTATGTCATGAATTTGATATCTATGGAAGAAACTAACAGCTGAACGGAAGTTATTTCATTATTAAAAAACAAAAACTGTGCAGAACATATTTATTACCAAAGAGTAAAATAAAATGGTCAGTATGTTTTAATCATCCAATTTCTTACCCCAAAAAAAAAAAAATCATCCATTTTCTTGGCCAAAAAAATCAAATTTCACAAAGATTTTGTTTGAGATTTTGGCTACATTCACATGAAACCACACCATTAAGAGAAAAGAAGTTTTTGTTTGAGACCAAGCTAGCATGAGATGCCTCGTCACATGTCTGGGAGTATAGGTTCTTTTATAAGGGGCTTAAGCAGGTTGGTGCTTCCAACTCAATAGTTAGCTCTTGGGAGAGAGTCGCTCACTACATAAGGGGTATCCATCAATGGATGTCAGAGTTAGGTAAGTGAATCCAAAAAGGGCCAACTGCAAAAAAATTTGATCAGCAAGGGAGTCACGTGCTGCAAAATGCAATAATCAGGATGTCAACTCTGCAAAGATGGTCTGTTGATGGGAATGAGGAATAATCGGATGCATCCCACATACTAGTATGGTATGCTTTATGAGATACTAAAATGGATTAGTTCTTCCACCCTCTTAATTAGCTTTTGGGGAGGTTCCCACCCCACTTAGGTAGGCGCCTATTAGATTACAATTTTAAAAAGGAACCAATAGTAAGTGATTTGTATATGGTGAGAAGACTGACCGTTACTGAAGTTTTATAGGCAGCAACACTGCCTTGATAATCTTTTAGTCCAAACTTAACTTCCCCAAGCAAGCGAAAAACATCAGCATCATTTGGTTTTTCCTTCGAACAACAAAAATGAGTACTATCAGTTCAGTAATTGTTGGATTTGGAACATCATGATTGAAGCAGAATACATGAGCAAACTATAGATGTTAAACACATTAATAACCTTAGTCAAGTCATCAAGTAGAGAGGCAGCCCTTGCATAATCCCCGAGTTCTGCCGAAGTTACAGCAGCTCCCTGAAAATCCTTTCAAATGTATCATGAAAGACATAAGGGAGCAAACAGAATTAGCAACCATGCTTACTTCAAGAGCAGTAGCATCTTTTGGGGAGTTGCGCAATATTGCCTCATATTCCTTGAGTCTACTCTGCAATATCAGGAAGATCATTTCACAACTTTGTCATCACCCTTGATAAGTAAATTTTATGAGATGTGATCATGTGATATATAGAACTGAAATGATGTAGGGACTAGGGCAATCTAAACATATGGAAGAAGATCAAAAGCATCTTAGGCAGATGTTGACAAATAAAACTACAAAATAATATTAAAGTTAGAAAGAGATGGGCATGCATGTGTGTTGAGAGAACATTAAATCTACCAATTTCAATTTTCAGGGAACCGTAGCAAATGAAAAATAAAAATGCACTTTCCCATCGTTTCAACACTTGTACTGCTAGAATTCATTCTCCTACACATTTTCTGTTCCTTCTACAATGCACTTCTCTATTGTATCAAAGCAATCAACTTTCAGCTCATCAAGCAATGTCTTGGCGCGCATAAGATTATAGCTAGGGTAAAAGAACAAGGCCAATCCTTAACTACCTGTTGAGAGAGCTCCAATTATGAATAATGCTTTATATATATATATTTATTATTTCTTTAATTATGTATATCCTAGGGTAGCTGCAGCTATTATTATATCTTCCGTTAATATCTTATATATCTTAGAAAATAAATCTAAGATATTAGAACTAATAAAAGATGTGATATCTAGGATCCTAGGATTAGTGTTTTTGTTTCTTCTACTTATATTAAGACCCACTGTAACCTATGTTTATCATCTAATAATATAAACAGAGGTGCACTTCACCTCTGATTCCACAATACAAAATACATTTCACCTTACTATTTTTTTTTTTAAAAAAAGGGAGTGATCTTATAACCAATTGAGCAAACTTCTGCTTTTCTATGGAAAAAATACAGACCAAAAAAGAAAAAGATCATTAGCATCTTAAAAGCGATTATCACATGGAAATGATACCTGAAGACTAGCTTTTTCCTCCTCTGACAGCTTATTGTTGACCACTGCACTTTCTTCATTGGGGCTAACACTGAATTGTTCAAAACCAAGTCCCAATCAAATCATGAAATTAAAAGAACATGAGGAAAAGTGTCAGCTAAAAGTGCAAATCATACCCAAATCCCAATCAACATTTTTTAATGAAATCAGTATTAATATAGATATGTTGTGACAAAGTTGCACACGTGATAGCACTTATTACTTTGTTTGAGATTAAAATAAAAATCTTCAATAGCCTACAGTTAGAATATTAGGTTTTTGAATTGAAAAGAGTCATGACATGATACCTGAGCTTTTAGCAGGAGGTCAAGACTCATGAACTTAAACCATGTCTCCCTTTTAATAATTAAAATGAAGTTTCATAGCAATGTTAATAGGTCTGGTACTAAATCCATACTTGAAACCCGCAGGTTATCAGTGTGAGAGGCCGTGTTAAAAATGACAATAAAACTACTCATTTTCCTTCAATTGAAAAGGTTTCTGAAGGTAATTATCAATGAAAAAGCATACATATATAAAATAATGCTTTCTCATATGGTTTTTCCTCCAGAACCGAAATTTGTTGTGGACTTCATATAGGATAGCATCAAGTATAAAACATTACCATGGTTATGATGATGATTTAAGCAATTCACCTATTAAGGGGGTGTTTAGATAGAAACCAAACTATGGTTTCAGAAGTGCTTTTACGGTTTACGAAGTAAATATGTGAAGGAATTTGCCTCGTTTTGCAGAAAAGTGCTTCTGAAACCATGGTTTAAAAGTTGCCAAACACCCTCTAAATCCTGCAAAATGCACATTTGCAAGAAGAAAATGATATGTGGAGCATCAACTAGACACCACGTATATCATCCAAGTTTAGACATGCACACATACCTTCCTGATGGAAGAAAATCTCCAAACGCAAATACCAGACCGAAGACCAAGACAGCCACACCTACTCCAATCTGTTTCATAGTAATATTTATACTACTTAAATAAGGCAAGAAAAAATGCATGTACCACAAAGGAACATCCTTCAACCTTGGTACCAAGCCCAATGGTCTTGTCATCTGAATTTGGGGAATCATAGTCAATTGCGCCAAATTGCTTTTCCTCCTCAGCCTGTTTTTGCTCAAGAGCTGATCTGAGTATTAAAAAAATTAAAAGCAAAGGGGGAAAAAAACTTACTTTTAAGAAGAAAATCCAAAATATATTACATTGGACTTGAAAGAATATTAGAAAATAAATCATACTTTTATTGGTCTGAAGCATGTGTTTTTTTGTTTTAAATGAATTGAACAGGCTCTATGAAATAAATAACTGAAGGTCTTAGGCATCTTCCAATAGTTTTATTAGTCCTCCAAGATCAACAGTCCAAATGAATAGCCATGGATGAAGGTGCAGTCACTAGCCACCGCAGTATACATGCACATTAATAACTACTATAAAATGGAATAGTGTAGATGAACATGGAAAATGAGTAAGAAATTTTTGACTGGACAGCTCTATACTGATGGCACAAATAGTTGACAACCTGTTAAGCCATGCCTCTGAAAATAATCTGTCGTTAAATAATGCACAATTGATGATCCAATACGGATGCAAAAGAGTGTTTCCATATCCAAAGTAACCAAAAGCCAAAAGGGTGACCAGAAAGAGAATTAAAATAATTAAAACTGTACCTTTTTACTGCTTTTAGTCGTTCTTCAAATTCTACATCCAAAGAATTGCTTCTAGAACTTGGACGGGATAACTCTACAAGGAAAGGCTTATGTTAATTTGATTGAGCAAACCCAAATAACGGAACCCCTGTCAAATTGAAGATTTTTTTTTCAATTAAAAATTGAAGTGGGAAATATCAATTGTTAAATACTTGATGGCAGGCATTTCCAATCCAACAGAAGGGTAACATGATTATGGAACACAATTAAATCAAATATGATATTGCATGGACCCAAAATATTTTATGCTCATTATGTGTCTTTATTTATTTATTTATTTTATTTGGAGTAATTGATTTACGGTTTTAAATGCAATTTCATATGCTTAACTTCACTGCTAATGACAGCAGAAAGATAGGGTCTCATGAAGCAACTATTAACTTCAACGTCTCTATTTACTGTCCAGCATTGATGCCTAAACTGGGTTGGCAACTTATGCAAGTGAGGTTCTACTCTAGAGAAATTATTCTTTCTGTATTGTGCTTGACAAAGGCACAGCAGTGAAGGTGTTGAATTTTTGAGTTTAACTCTGAAGGAAATAACAGTGAACCAAGGAAGAGAATCTCTCAATTATTCGATGAAAAGTAATCAACTTACGAGGCGATAGAGATGGAGACTCTTTAGACGGTGATCGCCTGCACCAACCAAGACCATTGGCTGTTAGCAAATGAACATTGTGAGTGAAAACAACACACAGCGTCCAAGTTTCACTAACACTTAAAAATCTACAATGAATGGCTTGAGCTACAAAGCTAACGCCTGAAGGATCACAAGTAAACATTCAAAACATATTCTAGATACCTTTGCGACGATACAAGGCCCTTGCCATCCCTCGCGGTATTAACTTCGTTGGCCTGAATGATTCAAAACGCAAGCAATAAATTGGAGAAGGAAAAAAATAAAGAAACAGGGGAAATGAGAAAAGTGGTAACGCAAACTAGAAAAAGAAGATCACAGGCACTTAAGAAAAGGGAAAAACATCGATTTCGAAGCCGACAAAAGTACCTTGCTGCCATTGTTGGCCTTGTTTGCTCCAAAACCACGGCTTGGTTTGGAATCCGAGCATCGTATTTGAAGCGAGAAGAAATTGCTGCTTCTGACACAGGTCCACATTATGTGAAAATTTTAAAACTTCATCCTGACTGAGAAATTGGATTGGAAGTTAGAGAAGAGCACCATTTGCAATTCGCACTGGTATGCTCTCACTCTCACCATTCCAAGTCCGGGTGATGATAAGTTCCGAGAAATCTCCGGTGCTCCACGTCATCACCTGATTTCATCCCAGTCAGCACGTAACATTCCAAAATTTTACAATATTGCAAAGGAAAAAGGGGGAATTTCCAAAAAAAAAAGGTTGAATTTTAAAATTTTAAATCAAAAATTATTATAAAAATATTTTTTCACTTGCTTTTTTGAATGTAATTATTTTCTTTACGAATGTAATAACTAATATTGATTTAGAATTTCAAAATTCAACAATCATTTTTTTTGAGATTTTTTTAAAGAAAAATTATCATCTCAGTTAAATTATTTAATTATTAAAAAATCTTAAGTGACTAACATGCAACAATTTTGAATTTCCCACGTAAAATATGACACTCTTCACTTATGAAACTTTTTAGAGAATTAAATTACTTGCGTGGAATACAGTAGCTTTTCCTATTAAAAATGATATTTAAATTCAAAAAGTATCGATTTAATAACAGTTTGATCTTAAAAAAAATTTTAAAATATAAATTGTTAATATGCATTTAAAACTTTAATTTCTTATATACAATAAAAAAATTTTAATTTTGTAACCATCTGAATCAATATTTACATGTTTTTGTAAAAGATTTTATCAAGAACCTAACTATAATTCCATGAATTTTTTGAAATTTGACTGTCATCCTCCGTGCGATTTCATAGTATGTTAGCTGCGCGCGAGTTATGTCATTTGTAAATAATGTGATTTATTATAAATTTTATGTTTTTTTATCAAAATTTATATTAATTGATTTAGTTTGGTTTCAATTTAATTTTTTAGTTGTTTTAAATCATTTCAATCATTTAAATTAAAAAATGTTTATTCCAAAAATAGTGAAAAGCATCCCCTCCTTTAACATCCTTAGTTTGTTGTTATCATTCATAATTAATATTTATATTTTTTTTCCTCTATAATTTATCAAGCCTCTGAAAAATTAGTAGGAGATGCCACGAGTCATATAATCAAAGCAACCAAATGTCAGATAAAGAGAAAGGTGATTAGCTTTGACTACAATAATAAATAGGGAGAATTAATTTGCCAGTCCTTATTCTTTTCCTCAGTTTTTAATTAGGTCCTTATACTTTTTTTTTCATTTTATTGAATCCTTATTGTTTTAAATGTTAAAGACGTTAGTCCTTCCGTCTAAAATCTGTCAGACCAAGTTAGAGCATCATTGAAAGAAGTTGATGTGGCTTCCAGTTGGATCAAATGTGGCGAGATTGACTTGGAGTGAAGCCATATTTGTTGGCATCTTTATTTCATTCAAAAAAGGCAGAAGAGATGAGTGTTGAGGATGAGCTTTGGTGCAAGAGTTTTGTTTTTGGAGTGAACAAAATAGTAACAAGCTTTCAAAATAGCACTGTTCATAGTCTCTGAGTTTAACAATCAGGTGAGAGAAAATTGTTTCTATCCGTTGAGTCTATGAGCTTCGTTCATTAGGAATTATTTGTAGTTTACTGGTTATATTTTGGGTATCTATTGAAACCCGGGCATGATGTAGATGAAGCTAAGCGAGGTGATATTAAGGTATTTGAAAATAGTGAATTAGTGATGAAAGAGAGTTGGGTGATGATTATTGTCATGGCTTTATTAATGTCGATGCATAAAACCTTCAAGAAGAAGTTTTCAAGCCAAATAATGTCTTTGGGGTTATGAACAAGGCTCTCTTGGTTCATTTATAATGGAAACAAGTAAAAGTATACTGCTGCTATGTTTTCCTCCGTTTTAGGTCCAAAAAACAAAGGTGAACAAAATAACATGGTAGCTACTTAGTACATGTGTTGACATATAAGAAATAGGGTTAAAAAACTCAATAGTAATAGCATGCCCTGTGTCTCTTGCATGTACTTATGATTCATAACCCTTCTATCACTCTCTGTCTCCTTCAATAAATTAAATACAGCATTATATATAATGAATTAAATTATTTTAGATTTTGTGTTTAATGCGTAAAAAGGGAGAAAAGACGCTATCCAGTTTGCTCAAACATAAATATGGAGTAGGAGCCTTTCTACGAGACAGTAGTGGTACCATTACTATCTAACCAGGGTATTTGCTTAATCTCAAAATAATAATGCGACTACAAGTTGCGCCTTTAACTTGAGAATTTGGTATCTGGTAAAAAAGACTCCGGTCATGTCCTACGTGTAAGACCCTTAACCTCCCAAAACATCATAACTCATCGTAAAATCACTACTATGGTAGAAAAGGAAAATCTGTTAAATGAACTACCATAGTAGGAAGAAATTTGCATAATTTTGAATTCACATTTAAACCGTTGCATGCAACTGAAATCATTCATTCAATCATAATCCACTGGGCCTCCGAGCCTCTGGCCCGGGTAACAACATACATCCAAAAATCAGCCCATCCAATTTGTTTTCCACCAGGTATAACAAAGTTCCATAAAACAATAGCAATGGCCTCCGGCCAACTAAAACAAGGAGGTAACGTATCCTCCAATTTACAATAGATCAACAATCAAAATATCACAAAAGACCCCTAACTGTGGCAATATACAACATATTCATACATAAACAAAGGCTAGAGGCCTAAAGCTAACCAAGCTTAAGCCTCTGTGTCCCTTCCCGAAGGCGCACGCCTAGAAACTTCACCTGAAAATATTGTAAACCACGGGGTGAGACAAAGTCCCAGTAACCAACCTTTCCAATACTAGGTACTACTAAATAGGTGCTCGTGAGGTGTCAAGTGGGGCAGTTCACAAGTAATATAATAACAAGATAGCCACAATAAATCATGCAAGTGAAATGATGCAATTCCCATTAACCAAATCCCTCACTTTGGGGGATTTTCAGGAGCCGAAGCCGGCCTATCCCTCACTATGGGGGACGTAAGGAGCCATAAAAGGCTTATCCCTCACTCTGGGGGACGTAGGGAGCCAAAAGGCCTATCCCTCACTATGGGAGACGTACTAAGCCAACCATCATGCATTAATGGAGGCCTTACCACGTGGTAGTAACAGACAAATCTCTCACCAATTCCCAATCAATGCATCATGCTCAAATCATAATCAAAGAGTAATAATCATTTCACAATTGACCTCATCCAGTGGCATATCTTTCACAATTTTAAGATTTCATTCATCATCAAACAAAACCCCACAAGACGGTTTTCCTTTTTTTTTTTTTATACACAACATATAGTTTGAACACAATTACTACTTGGAGCACCAAAACACAAATCTACTCACAATACCACAGAAGCAAGTACTAAGGATTGGAAAGTGGTTACCTCTCGCCTGAGCAAGGAACAACAACCAACGATGTGGCCCCGTGCACCACCAAGACTCACAACCGGTCTACACAAGCACACAAACACACAACCATCATATATTAGCTTTCAAACTAATAATGTGGCCAAAACAACACTTGGGGACACAAAATTCCTATCTCCCATCAAAACTCTACCCAACTCAAAGGGTATAACTATCAAAACAACACTCCAAAGTCCTCAAAGTCTATTAAAACATCAAGTCTCCTTCCAAGCATCAATTAGAGTTCAAACCTCAAGGACCCACTATAGGAATTCAACCTCCAACATCTCATTTGAGCAATTAAGGTTCCAACAACAAATATAAACCGATTAAACATCCAATTTAACCCTCCTTAACATAACCCAATTCACAAAACTCAAAATCAATCTCTACATTATCATCCTCAATCCCAAATTATCCATTTCCATAAACCCTAGCTCCAAAAATTCAAGATTCTTTAAATCCAGGAAAACTACACCGATTAAATACTTAAACTAACCCAATGCAATCAATTAAACTCAAAACAATCGGTCAAAAACCTCAGTTCCATCACAACCTAGAAAATCCTAAGGTTTCACCATAAATCCTTATAAATTCCAATCAAGAAGATAGATTAGAGGTTAAAATCACTTACTTGAGGTAATGGATCCTTAGAAATGACTTTCCCAAGCCTCAAAACCGAAACCCTAGCAGAGCTCCTCTCTCCTCCTTCAGATTTTCTTATTTTCGTACAACTGAACCCTCCAGCGATTATATAGAATCGCGACCTTTTGCCGCGGCGAACTAATCCCGAGAGGGATTACTCGCCTGAAAACCTGACTTCGCCGCGGCGAAAGCTTCCCGAGAGGAAACTCTCGCTCGCCCAGAAAACATTCGCCGCGGCGAAACCTTCCCGAAAGGGAAGCCTCGCTCACCAGAACAACTTCTCCGCGGCGTCCCCAAGACTTCGCAGCGGCCAAACCTTCCCGAGAAGACACTCCCCTCTAAAACTCCCGGTGCGCCGCGGCGAACCTATTCCTCCAACAAAACTCAAATTCAAACCAAACACCCAGATCAAGATTAAATCACTAATCTATCCTCAAAATCAACCCAAAAGGGGCTATTAAAACCCGATAAAAACTTAGGATGTTACACTACGTGGATTTACTCAAATGGTGTTATAACAATTTTAACATTCAGGGATGGACGGCTTAAACGGCGGAAATAAGGAGTTCATAAAAAGAAAAAAAAAGTTGAAGGATCTGATTTAAAATGGAAGAAAAGTATAAGGATTGGCATATTAGTTTTTCCTAATAAATATAATATGTGTGTGTTTTTGTGTGAGAGAGAGAGAGAGAGAGAATATGACATATACTTTACTAAATTTATCCTTTATAGGTTTGTACCAATACTTTGATACCTCTAAAAATATAATTTTCACTACAAGAATGGAGAAAGAACGTATAACATGAAACAATTTTTTTCTGAAAAGGATAAATATAATGAAATAGAGGAAGTAATAGATGATCGATATGACAGACTAAAAATATCATTATTTTTTATTTTATTACCATCATGAATAAATTAAAAATTTTATAAGTAAATTAGTTTAAGTCTATATAAATTATTTATTAATTAAATTAACAATGCTAAGGCAAAAAAAACTATATTTTTAAATCTAAAATATGGGG